TTGTTCCCAGAGGAGCCGCGGCCTTGTACGCGGTGTCCCGTTATTAATGAAAATTCTGGTGATCAGACGCAAATGTTTTTCTAAAACCTGCCCGAGCACCAGCATCGACCTTGAAGCTGTGTAACACGCTCTGTTATTCCCCCGTTCCGCCATCTGAGGCTGTGATTGTAGGCGTCCCCTCGGGGCTTGTCTGTTATCATCGCGCCGCTCTGTGATTGTGCCGAGCTTAAAAAGTGTTTTCTCGCTGGGAGTGACGCGTTCAGATCTGAGGTGCCAAAATATCAGCTATGTGCATATTCAATGTGAGCCGTTTAGTTCAAATATCTATGAAGTTTACAGCGTCTACAGCGGGAGACAGTCGACATATCAAACTGAATATGCCGACATGAAACATGTTCATTTCTTTAAACAGATTTCAGATTTTTTCGCTGTTAACGCCTGCTAGAATTCTGTTTTGTTAGGACTAATTCAACATTTTGATATTTCAAACCGTTCATTTTAACACTGATTGGCATTACCAAAGCACCCATGCAGCATAAAACTGCTTTTGATATAATCATACGAAGTTATCAATAACAATCTTTAATAGACAGGGTGTAGTAGGAGAGTACAATGAAATAAGTACAAACATTGTGTCTTTTTATCCCTCCTGCACGTTGATCTGATGCAAAACTTACGTGAACGCTGCCTGACCCTCCTCCATGTCCTTGCTCTTGGCGCCCGGTCCGGCCTTCCCACAGAAGTTAACAGCGATGCACATGAGGAGCCCGCACTTGTTGAGGAAGTAGCAGGTGACGTCCACGCCCACCAGCAGCAGGAAGAAGACGACGATGAGGATGCCCACGATGGCTCCGGTGCCCATGGCCGAGCGGGCGCCGGCGTCGTCTGCAGCGCCAGGACAGCCAGAGGGGGGCGGGGGGGGGGATGCACAAGCAAAAAGAGGCAGGAAAAGAAGAGGGGAGAGAGTTTGGGGAGAGGAAAGGGGTTTAACATGAGGGGAGAGGGGATAGAAGGAAAGTTAGAGAGAGAGAGGGAGAGAGATGATGAGGAACGCAGGCGAGCTTTTAATACGGCGCTGCAGGTTTCACTCGTCACGGCCTCAAGTGTGTTGTTCCTTCAACGCATGGAGACAAATCACACGAGAACCATCCGGGAATGAGTGAATCGAAAACAATCTTAAAACCACCCCTGCCTTCTTTATAGCTACTTGATATTTACTTTTTTAAATCCTCATGGCCGACACACTTGAGGTGTTCAATTTCACACACCATCACAGAACTTCCAGGGATGAAATTTAGTTGGGTGGTAGTACACTGCATACGAACAAGTATAATATTACACTCTACTTTTATAATCCTGTGTTTAAAAATAAATCGCAATTCATTTGGCTATTCATGCAATATATAATGGTAGTGGGTGTGAATACTATAGATCACAATACATCGTTTTTACAACATTTTTGGGCCATGGGCCAAAATACCCCCCAAAAACACGAGTTGAAACAAAAGTGGAATCATCCGTTGTCACATACTGTGCAAAGGTCCTTACTAGGGTACGTTCCTTCACGTTTATAAAGACACTTAGTAGCCCTACATTTTCAGAAGTAATAACAGAAAGAAAACAATGCAATGGTTTGCTCTTTTGTAGATAATATAGGAGGTGTGGGTCAAAGGCCGACTCCTCCCCTCCCCGCTCTGACACACCTAAAAATAGAGTAAGACACCGAGTCGCTTTTACAGCTGCTTCAAAGCTTTTTAGGGTGAACGTGGAGGTTAAACAGGTTTATCTGAGCAGCTGTTTATCTCGACATACGCAGGCTGTCGACACTTTAGAGTTCCACTTTGAGGGCAAAGAGCAAATGCCGCTTATTTCCTCTGTGGGACGATTCCACAGAAACAAATGCACGTGCAGTTTATAGACAGGGTGGAATGAGAAGGATTTTGAAGTCCAAGGCTGGCTCAGGATTTGAACAATAGCTTTTGGAATAACTAGACTATTAAATGGAAGCAGAATGTCCATCTTTGTGCATCTTAGAAGAAATATGATGACAAGAGATTGAAAACCAGCAACATGCAGCCAGATCTCCCCTACGGGCATAAAACACGAGCTACTTACCACAATACTTCAAAAAAGGAGAAAAATAAATATTAGTGGTACAACGCTTAAGGTGCATTATGGATGCATATGGGTTCCCACAAATCATTTTCCGCTATATTTCTTAAGTTATATCGTAAATAGAATTGGGGGGAATTTATGAATGGAAACCGAAACAACTATTTCTGCTTCCCGAGGGAATCAAAACGAGAGAAATCTGTTGTCTCCATGTTGTCGCTCCTGTGCTTCAAAAGGAGATTTGCATGAAGTTTAACCTTCTTTTTTCTTTTTTTAACTTACCCACATTGTGCCGCCGGGCGCCTTTTCGGCCTTTGAGTGGTGGAGGGTGGGCTGCTTTTCAAAGCGGCCACCTTGATGGTGTCAAACCAAAGGTCATGAAGGAAGAACCGTCTTCTGAGCCCGCTTTAAAATGTCTTTTAAGACCCCAACGAGACACATGGGCTCTTCTATTTAAATGAAACTCTGTTACTTTGGTCAGGGCGGCTCTGTTTGAGGCAGAAACAATGGCGGTATCACTTGCTACTGTCTGTAAAGCATCGAGGGCTCATCAATAAGTCTAAGGAGAATGTGAGAACATCGGTGAATCTAAACTAGAGCCGGTTGATCACATGAGGAGAAACTCATCTCAGAAGAGAAAGAGAAACCCGTTTCCATATTGAACGTTGGAATACAGACTCCAGAATTGACGTCTTTAAGAATCGTCTCGGCCTTGGTTGATTTATGGTTTGCACCCTCGCAGCTCTTGAAACCTCACCGACAGCTTTTCAGCCTGACAAATTGCCACGATTCTTAAACATATGATGTTTACTGTACCTGTGGGACAGAAAGGTCTGACTAGACATTTGATTTAAATGCACCGTCTTCCCATCCATCGCTTCACACTCGTTGCGCTCCCGCATCTCCTCTGAGATTAATAAATACGTAGCAGGAGCGTGTCACGGCTCCGTGTGTTTTACGTGACTTCGGTGTTGCAGACGACGCTTGTTTTTCTTCTGCCAATCGGCCCATTTGCATTTTAATAAATGGCACAATAAATGGTGTGGCGTGCATTCAGTGCCGGGGGGGGGGGACCATTTCACTGAAAACCAGACATTCCTGAGGAATCAATAGCTGGTCACTGACTCCTCTGCTAGTAGGTTGATGAAAAATCTTTATATTTGCGGTTGATGTAAAACGTTGTTATTGAACCAGAAGATGCATTAAAATGGCAGCTTGTTTTTATTTAACGTCTCAATTCTGATTGGGTGGTGGCTTGTGTTCTATTTGAAATTACGCTTGATATGTCAGGCTGAATTCAAGGCAAACGGTCATAATAATGACTTTGACGATGTTTCGAATGAGCAGATAGGAATTCTGTATCTATAATATGTCATTGAATGGGTCGTCGTGGCGCAGGGGTTAGAGGTGTGCTGGGAAGCACAAGGTTGGTGGTTCAATTCCAGGCTGCCCCATGTTCCCCATGTCGAAGTGTCCCTGAGCAAGACACCTAACCCCTAATTGCTCCCCAGGCAAAAATGTGAAAAAGCCATGGGTTTAAAGTGTAATGTAAGTCGCTTTGGATAAAAGCGTCTGCTAAATGTAATGTAATGTAACTCAAATTGTTGTTACTTATTGCTGATTGTTTGATGTTGTTATTTCCGATGTCTCTGCGGGAACTTTACCTTTGCTGCTGTGATCCCCACAATGGGTCTCTTCGCAGGAGACACTTAAACAACACTCACTTCACTGATTTACAAACACTGAAACATGTGCCCGTACGTGGTCGAGACCAAAAACTCCCAAATGCTCCCATTGTGTAGCATAGAGGACGGACATTGCAGACCATCCATTTGGGGACCAACACGTCTCATGACTCGGATGTAAGAAGTGTAATTAGACCGTGCTCCATTTGCTTCTTTCCATGTGTGTTTCCACGCTGGCGCACTGCTCCGCCAGTCACACGTGTTCAGTTTGTGCCGCGGGCACCGGGAAGCCGAGTGATGCCGACAACGAGATGGTTTCCATAGGCTGTTTTTAATTTTTTTTTTTTTCTGTTTACCAAATGTAATTTGTAATGTAAAATGTCCATTTGAATGTTCTGTTGCTATGCATCGCGAGTACGTCTGAGGCACATACTGGAGATGGAGATCCTGATTAGCAAAAATGAAAATCACTCAGCACTGATCAGCACTCTCATTACTCCGCAGGCACTGATGAACAACAGGAGGGACTAACAAGTGACAAAGAACCCCCCCGAGGACTTCGTAAACTCGTGTTATCCTTGTGGTGGAAGCTGGTTGAGATTAGACGGCAGTGCCTGCGATAATGAATAATGAAGGAAAGTCAGATTTTAGATCGCAGCCTTTCGAACGAAGGCCGGAAGGACAATATTCTGACAACTAACCAAAAGAAACAAAGGTATATTTCCCTCCTTGCCAATATATTTCTTCCCCTGGTTCCTTATTACCGTTTGGGGAAGTGTTGTTATTTTACCTGCAGGAGTACAAGGTGGAAGTTTTATGGCACTTCATCGTAAGCAGGCAGAGAGGCTCCTAAAGCTGCGTTCACGTAATCCCCCTGAAAGCCCCCTTCAAAGGTCACAAATCAGAGAGAGAAGACCTTTGACATCTGCTTATTGGGAGTTGTGCTATTTGCTGCAGGCTGCATGAAATGGGACCTTGTGGCATTCCATCAGAAATGTTATTTTTGTAAAAAAGTGAATGCTTTTTTATGTTTTTTTGCTCTTTTTGGAAAAAGTCCTTGATGCTTCTTTCTTTTTTTATGGCCGAGGGAAATACCAATTACCAATACCAATTTAAATTGTGGTCAACCCTTAAAAGTAATAGTTGTTTCTCACTAGTCACCGTAATGCGTAATTACACAGAGAGACAAAACAATCACATCTGTCTCGTTACTGAAAATGTACCAATGCTTTATTAATTCTCTCACATCAAAGTGTCGCTGATGGTGGCTGCAGGTGGTTGTGGTCTCTTCATTAATGCATCGCAACACTTCCATGAGCTCTGCAGCCCGGTGCGGAACAAAGGTTTGAACAAATGCAAACTGTATAGACGGCTTCGATCGCTCACACTCACCACGGTTAAAGGAGAGCTTCCTAATGTTCCCAATGTCTTGTTTCCGACTACGTCAACAACAACAAGGTTGAAGCGAGAGAAACAATTCAATCGTGGGATGAAAAGCAGATGACACAGGGTTTTTTTTTGTTTTCAGTGGCAATGGTAAAGTCCGAATGCGGACCCGGGACCATGGAGCCGTTGGATGTTGGAACAGAATGTGTGCGTCGCCCCGGTTATGCCGTTGAATATTTTATGGAGGCAAAACAAAAACAGATGCTGATGAGACAAATTAAAAGTTTAAAAAAAAAAAAAGCTCCATGGTTAGTTTTTCTTTCAAAAGGTTGAAACATGACAGCATGATAGCGGTTTCCTGTGTATGTAATGGTGTAACATTATGGCCCCTCCACATCATAACTGACCTTTATGTTTCATAAACATTAAAAAGAAGTCCCCTTTCAAAAGTAAAGAGCGTTGTTGCCGTGGTTCTATCTTTGTATACACATTTATGTATTACTGCAAAGCCTCTATACGGTTAATAAACCATTTGTTCAGAATGCATCCTGCATCTTCTTCTTTTAAGCTACAGCCAGGCTTCCCATCTTTCAGCATCTGGGTGTAACAGCTGTGAACGACGTAATGCAACACGGAACGCAGAGCAGAGTCATTTTGTTGAAACAAATGGCTAAAATCAAGTTCACAATCGAGGTAAAGTACAAGTCAGCACTGTGTCACACGTCTTAATAGGTTTAGTCACTAAAGCTTCAGAAAGCCGTTACTTTCGTGAAAGAAAAAACAAAACACAATTCATTTCAACCCTACAATGGTTACATGGAAATACACTGATATGTACGTACAAAAACGTCTCAGAGAATAGAATAATATTACATTATGAAAATGAAATTTTTAGTGTTTAACAGCTGTTGCAGTTTTAGACATTTTTCTGCTTTCAGGTCAAAACAGAACATGAACCGTCAAACAAAAAACTCAGCTGAATAGTTTCTAGATCAGTTTGTAAAGAGTATGTACACTTTGTCACGAAACATGATTAGTTCTGCACAACCTTTCGTCCTCTCCTGACCAGGCGGGGAAAGTGAGCATAATAAACATTTTAAAATGAATACTCTGACCAAAACCAACACATCTTTTTCCATATTATTATTATTTTTTTTTTTACTTTCCTAATACAGCAGGACATTTCAAGCTTGTATCCAAAAAAACTGAAATTAGGCACAGCATGTTTACTCTTCACCTGTTTAACACATTCATAATGCTTGACTGGGGAGCTTCAAAGCAGCTGCATAGCACATCAATGAATACTGGATCATGCCTAATGTCAGCTCTCATGCAGTGGTCATGCTTTAATGTCCTTTGTGACATCACAGGGGAATGATGTCTCTGTTTGATCGGCAATAAATTCCAAAATAAAAGTCTCTTTACAATTGCCATTTCTGGTTAGCATATTGTAGACGTAATCAAACAGTGTAAAGTAATTCTTCTATTCATCTCACCCCTCTCGCGATTACATTAAGGCATTATGAATGTGTTACTAATGGTATCTAAAACAAAGCGGCAACACTTTGTCTCTGCGCAGTGTCCCAACTGAGCACCCAGGTCCGACTCCTAAAAATGTTCCCTTTCCAAATCTATTCATATACAACATGAAAACCGATGAAAACAAAAATATCAACAGAATCTAGATCCCCAAAATATGAGAACGATGCAAGTGCTGAGCACCCTGTAATAACGTCATGAAACCAATGTCTTGACTCTTTGTTTTGTTTTTTTCTCGTTTTTTTTTCATCTTGCGTGTGGCTGCACAAGGGTCAAAAAGGCATAGAAAGCAAAGGATTTCAAAGGCTCAGACTATCCTCTTTCTCCTTGAACAAAATCAGTTTATGAGAGCCAGAGCGCAGTCAGCATGGACAGCAGAAGAGCTGCCAGGCTGTAGGTAACACATCGGCAACCAAGGGTAGCTGAGGTCATCGAACAGCCACAGTTCACAAATAGAAGTGTTTCCACGTCGGCAACGGCAGCGATAATCATAGCACAGGTGACAGGAAAGAGAAAGAATAGTAAAAACACAAACAGAGAGAAGAATTTGTGTGTATGGCAATGTCATGGTCCATAGGTGTCCAAGAAGATCACACATGAAGACACGAAGAAAAGGACACGGACAAAAGGGGAAGCAGGAGAGGAAGAGGGAGAGAGATAGAAAAATAAGGTCAGAAATACAGATTTACAACTGAATTCAGGATTTTTTTAAAAAGGAAGTCTAAGTTAGAGGATCAAAGTAAAAGAAGTCATAGCATGTTAGTAGCACGGCAAATGACACATGGCTCGTGGCATGCATGGGTGGAAGGTCATGGGGGATGAACACAGTAAGGAGGATGTTTGAGAGACACGACAAGTCCAACTGCTCTGACCGAATAGGTTCGATAAAAGCAAAAAACAGCTTTTCAATCAAACATTAATCAAACACAACTAATCAAACACAAGATGACAACCTGGATGTTAGAACACATGAACAAGTCAGGCTAGTATCTGTCCTTTGTAATGGCCAGTGGTGTAATGTAGATGCAAACGTGTGCTTACTTGCCACAAATAAAAGCGCCCCGATGATCACCCATCGGGTCAATAGTAGGGAAATGATGGAAACTGTATGACATCATGCGTTTTGTTTGCATGCGTTTGTCTTTGGAAGCATGAACCAAAGTTTGGTAACAAATGATGCATTAAAAATCCCATCAGCAGCTTGTACAGGGATGCTGGATCGGACTCGCTCTGCAAAGCGTGACGTCCAGTCGACAAGATTCTAGTAATTAAGAGGTACGGATTTTATTCGGATGAACTGTGGAATTGAAGCAGGGAATTAAAGCAGGGAATGCACACCTAGTACTGACAAACTAGCAGCATTATGCTAATAAATCAGCAGCATTTTGTGTTCTGATTTACATTTTGCAACATTGCAAATAAATCCACCAGAAAGGTTTTCTCATTGTGCTGATCAAACTAATCTGGGCAACATTATCCTCCATTCAAAACATATTTTCTATTGCAATTAGCAGTGTGGAGACAAGGCTTTTATATACACAAAATATTCTGTTTCTTGTACCTTTGTAAAAAAAACGACAATATTCTTACAAAGTGGTTTACTTTACTAAATTAAAAAGGAGCATTGCACTGATATTTGTATATAGCTGCAGCCCTGCATGCATGAATAGTCCCATGGATGCATATCATTTGTGTCCTCACTGACAAGAGATCCTATTGACTTTCCATCGCCATTGATTCCAAGAAGCCGTTATTTCAACTCGTTAAGTGTCACCACCGTGTAACACTGTGAGAAAGCCAAATCATTTCTTTGCTATCAGGTCGGTTGTAAAGTAGCTGTGTTTCTTCTTCTAGCCCTAATGTTGACTTTAATTTTGGCGCATTTATCTCTGCAAACTGTAAATCGTGTAAATTGTGTGTATACCTACAACACAAATAACATCAGCTCATGTCGTCATGAGAAAAATGCTCCCTTTGGAATAAGGCCCACTTGGGAATATCAACATCCGACCTGTATCAACTTTGATATTTTTGGAATAATAGTGGAATATTTTTTCCAGGTAAACACAGCCAATGTAGGAGAGGAAAGTTGTTTCCTAAAATATACACAAGTCAAAGGTGGATTAAAAGAGCACTAAAGACTAAAAAGAGTAAAAAGAGTTTAGGTACAGAAATGCGTCAGCACTTTAGTATTCAACAAAGGAGTAAGTGTTGTTTTGTTCAGCGGTACCAGCACACCGGTAGAGAGGAGTGGGCCGTCGGACCACTTCCTCAGCGACCATTACACCAGCGGTCACAGCAGAGAGAATGAACCATGCAAAACCACACATACAAAATAAAAGCGGCTCATGGAGGTTCAGTCTATGACATGGATGGAAGGGTGAGTTCATGTTATCGAAAACTGCAAAAGTGGATTGCCGTGTTTTGTAGTTTTGCTCCGATGTCAGCCTTAGCTGGGGAGATTTGGATGGATCGGTTGTAAACACCACCCCCCCCCCGTCCTCCCTCCCGACTGTGTCCACACACAAATTTAAAAACACTCTTTGTTTTGCCCCCTTTTTGGCTCGGTGATGTTTCAGCATTTCATGGAAATGCTGCCCTACTATAACGATAACAGAAAAAAAATGTTTCTTTTACAGAACGGATCATCTAGTTTCAAAGAACATTCAAATTAACGCCGAGATGCTTCAATCTCTCGACCCAAAGTGCATCACTTTGGTAAATTTGTGTGCAGCATGTGTTTGAAAAATGAAAAAATAATTCCAACAGATTGAAGCTCGACCTCGGATCAACTCTGCATTCGCAATTTGCGTCACGGTGTCCCGTATAGATCTTTTTTTTTTAGCTGTTTTAAGCAAACATTACCAACAACAGCTGTGAAACCTGCTGAGAGTGAATGCAGATGTTGCCGCTAAAAATAAACCTCAGCTATATCCCCCAAAGCGACTCGGAAGTACTACTAGACATCCCAACGCAACAACAAAACAAAAACACACTCATGAAATAAGGTAATTAGGGGAATTAAAGAGGGATTGACTTGGATGACGCCCATGTGAACTTCCGCTGCGGCAGAATTATAATGATCCAAACCTCCCACTGCTACATGGCTGCTGCCCAACAAGCGCATGAAAAACAAAATAACTGTTTTTCTTGCGTGCCATGCATCGGCAGCGCGTTGCCTTCAAGGGCCTCCAGTAAAGAACAGTGAAGATTAATCCAGCTGGAAGCGGCACCATGCAAAAGGCCGTGAGGGCTGCATCCCCACGTATTATTAATGATTCATTTCACCCTTTCAGGAGTGTTTTCTCTCGCATAAATCTGACATTTGGGAGACTCAATACTTTTGCTTGAAAGTTTTAGCGTAATTGTCTCATTAGATTGGTCGGTATTCGTTTGCCAGTTGAAAGGGAAAGATAATTGTGGCATTCGAAATCTCCTTTGTGGGGGATGTCAGAACTATAGAGAAGAGAGACGGAGAAAGGGAACCTGACGGGGCTCTTTTTCAGTAGAAGACAAACAGACGGTTGGACGAGTTGTTTTTCATAGCACAAGTGCAATGGGGAGGCAGCCCAAGTTAAAATGTTCACTGTACACACAACAAACAACAACAACAACAACAGAGCAAAGGCCAGCCGCGACCACTCGGGTAGGGAAGTGTTTGGGGATGAGTGGACAGAAGGCTCCGGGTCTGACTGATATCTGGTCCCCACTGAACCTGAGCTGTGACGGATGATTTACAGGAGCCACTGAAGACAAAGGGAGCCGAGCACCGTGATGCCGAGCTTTATCTGTGGCAACAAAGCGCGTATAACACACGCCGACGGTAGGCCTCCGCTCCCTTCATCTGGTGAAAACTGGTCTCCGAGACTCTGCGAGGTGAGCACGACGGTTTGAAATGCAAACAGGCTGCTGCGGGCGGGAGGGAAGGAATAGGATGAGGAGACGCGGCATTTATAGTATGAAAACACAGAGTACATGTTGTTTGTGAAAGGAAAATACACTTTTGAGTGGCTCAGCTTCGAGTCACGACTTGTGTCGTTCTACTGACTGACAGTTGCACTTTTCGGCAACTCTTACTGCTCGATGACGCATGAGCATCTCCTCTATCAACACAGCAGGGTGCATCTTTCTCCATATTCACTCTTCCTTAAGGAACACTGAAAAGCAGAGTTAGATTCCTTTCATGGACAGTAAAGTTGTTTTATTGTCTTTTCAATTGTGACTTAAGCAGCATTTTGTGTCATTTGTGGAATTTTTAACTATTGTAAAAAGAAATTGCTCTCTGCAATTCTGTAGATAATTCTAGAGTCCTATGAAAGAGGACGCTGTGGCCAGTTTATTGTCTGGTCATAATAAATCCTTCTTCTGATTGGCCATCCTCAAACTATTAGTCTGCATTTAAACTCATCCATTCCCAAATGAGTTCCTTGAACTTAATCCAAACCCATGTAACATGAATCTCAAACTAGGGTCTCCTGTTGTAATTTAGACCTTCAGTAACCCTCCTCATGTTTTAATAAAGTCACATCCAATCCGTTCACGATGGAGGGATCCTCGCCTCATGAACCCCGACGGCAACCTCCTGTTTGCGTTTCAGAGTTTCCGCTCATTTCACACGAGTCTTCACGACATTTCAAACCGACTTTATCGGGCGCAATACAACGCGCCACTGTTTATTTCTTTGAGCAAATAGTACGACGCTTTACTACAGTAAAGCGTCGGAGGGAGACGGATGAGTCACGTCAGACGTTTGGACAGCGACCTGGTTAAACAGTCTCTGGTCGCGGTGGAAGCCTTCATGCTCTGTGGCTGCTGCCTGTGTGCGTGGATGCTGGTGGGGAGGTGATGGGGGACGGTACCTGGGATGGTGGTGGGGTCCGAAGCCGTTCTGTAGGAGATGACGCCGGGCTCCGACTTGCCCTGCTGGTTCTCGGCCACCACGTGAATCTCGTACTCGGTGTTCCAGTCCAGGCCGCTCAGCGTCACGTACTCGCTGTTGTGGGGAACGCGGATTTCAGGTTTCCAGTCGGATACGTGCTTCTGGGGAAAGAGATGCAGAAAAAGTCACGAGGTTGGTTAAATCCCCGGGATTGTAGTCTTTCTCAAAAGGAAATGGGTCATTTCAGATTATTTGAAGAGAATTGTCCCGATGTCACGTTGGCCGATGGGCGTCGTTCTTTGGTTTACAGAACATTTTTCAGCCCCACACAAAAAGGGGCATGTGAAAGGAAAATAATGCAATTCACAAGACGTTCATAGAATCTGACAACAATCATATAGTCTCAAAAAGAGTAAAATGATCTTGTGGTTAGAGTTTAACTGGTCTGAATTGCTGAAGGCTCTTAGACAACCAAGAGATGCCAACTCCTGCCGGAGGAGACCATTTAGGGGGAAATGGACTGCTTCAACATTTCAATTAAACAGAGCTTTAATGTGCTTGACAGCTGTTGTTTCTTGGCTAGAAGTTTATTCCTGCTCTTAGTTGTGTCAGCAACTTTTTTTTTTTATCAAACCATTTAAGCAAATTCTGAGAAAAAAAAGCGGCAAAGCGGTAGCAAGTCACCTCCTGGCTCGGGATACTCACAGCCTTGTATCTGACCAGGTAGTGCTTAATGGGGGAACCGCCGTCGTCCTGCTTGATCCAGTTGACCTTAAGAGTATTGCCCCTTCCTTGGACCTTGACTACCAGTTTGGGGGCAGTGGGTTCCCCTACACAAGACAAACCAAGGCAGCAAGATTAGTCCACATAGACGTGGCCGTCGCACACTATTCCTCCCTACTGTGTTCAAATAGGGCAAATGGAACGTGTCTTCAAGGTCAGCTGAACTTAAATTTAAATGTATCGTGAGTTCCACCTACTTTGATTTAATAGGCATAAACAACAAAGCATTGCATCCAGAGGAATTGCAGATGTGGTGGTTTTAATCACGGTGTGATTGAGGATCAGATCACAGCCAATCAAATCCCGGGAATCAAAGGCCTGCAGATGATTGGCTCCCGTCATACGTTGACTGAATCCTATATTTATTGGTATTATCCTCACTTTTTGCTACATCGGACTAATTTATGTAAGAGGGTTGTCAAATCAAATGTAATTGTGATCTATGTCAAACACACGAGATATGAAATGAGACATTTTTAGCTTCTGTTTCGGTAAAGGTTAGCATGGAGCATCTTCTACAGGGACGTAAGAACGACTTTGTTCTCATCACTCGGATCTTCTACCCAAATATGCTCTATGTTTACGTTTCCCTGACAAGGACTCAAGCCTCGAGTCCCAAAGTGTTGGACTTTTGTTACTAAAACTAAATAAGGTTTTCTTTTCACCACAATCACAATCATTCCCTAAACTTAGAAAAGTACATATTTGAGTGCTGACCACGATCTTTCCTTAACTTTCCCTAAATGGGTGCGTGCCTAAACAAAACCAAATTTCCTTTTTGGCAAAACAAATAATTGGTTTGGTTGAGTAAAAGACCATGTTCTGGGTTCAAATGAGTATTTTTGGCTCCACAAAGGGCACAAACACTGGTCTCCCTCCGGTTCATAGTCCTGTGTTCGACCCCCACCCCCGCCTCAGAACATTTCTCCACACAGACTTCTGTGGGACTTCAATAACATATTTGGGGGCTGTAAAAAAAAACCAAAGGAAATCTGGGACGTGAAGTGCGTTGACAGTGCAGTTTCATAATTTGGTAACCTAATTGTGAGGAAAGCAGGCTGGCTTTTGCAAAGTGGTGTTGTTCTCCTGGAGGCTCCTCATTACCTTCTCTGTCCTCCTGGGTACCGACTGCTGGGTCATCTGCCCGCAGGACTCGGCTACTCTGAAACTTTTGATACCAACGCGCGAAGGCCTGTGGTTGGACGGCTGACGTGTTTTGTGTCGTTTACTCTCATGCCCCCGCTAAGGGAGGAAGCTAGCAAATCCAAGCTCATTAGTTGCGCGCACACAGCTCGCCTCGGGATCGTGTTATTAAATTGAGTACCTCAGGATGTCGCAGCCCACAAACAGATGGCAGAGAAATCATCTCATTACATTGAATATATTCTAATATAGTAAAAAAAAATGTTAGTAAGGATTGAAATTGATTGAAGCATTGGTAGACATTTAAAAAAAATGACAGCAATCATGTTTCCACACCCAGTATTCAACATTTCAAACTCTTATTGGTTGTTGTTAATTTAATGAACAACGCTCGGAGGCCTTTTTTTTCTTGTGATGATCAGAGCTGGCTGAGAACAAGCATTCCACTAGACTGAGGGGAGCGTGACAGATGCTGGAAGTGAGTCAGACAGGGTCAGAGACAGCACACGGGGGCGGGTGGACACTGGGTACACTGAGCATTGTCATTCATAAGCATCATTCCGGGTTAGGTCTTTTATTTCTGAGGTTAAAACAGAGAAAGAGGTGGTTAGGATGAGAAGGTTCCACATGCACCCCCCCGACACACTGACACACTGTAAAGTGGATAGAACAGTGGTTATTGAAAACATGCTGATGGGGACAGTTTTTGTCATTTTTGATGTAAATTGTGTGGGTTGTATCGGATTTGACGCTTAATCCTGAAAGAAATTGTTAAAGTAACGCTTAGCCTAAACTCACTATTATCAGTGCAATGATTTCCTTTGTAGCGTTTACTTTCAAATACAATGCATGAGAGGAATTATGCATATTGATGGTATACAAGTAACCTGCTAACAAAAGCGTTATATCAAGTTCTTCAAACTAAATATTCTGATCTGACTTTATTTTACATTTTTAAATTTGAATCCAAAATGGGTCTGAGATTAATACAACATAGAAAAAATGTTTGTCAGTCCAAACAATCTTCTTAAAACGTGGCTTATTTTGAATTACTGTCACAATTAGTATGTTTAAAGCATCATGTCATTTCACGTGTTTTATGTATATGTAGAGGAGGACAGGTCACCAGCAGAACAAGAAGAAGAAGGACAAGAAAACAGAATAAACTTGCATGCAGCATTAATGCAAAGGGCCGCTGTGAGTCAATCAGTAAAATATTGTGAGCTGCCGTATCTGTTGAGGACAAGAAGAAATCAAAGTCGTGTTTGGGGACCATGATTATCGGTGCATGCGCTGCAGATGGCGGTGAGCGGCGCTTTGTGAAGGCGCCCTTGTGATGTCTAAACGCCAGTCAATATGCATCGGGAAATAACAAAAAGAAACGTTTGGATGAAAGAAAAAAAGCAGTGTTTGCCAAAAGCAACAAACAATCTTATTTCAAGCTTGAATTTAAAAAGCAAGGCCATCAAAATCAACATATTGCCGGATCAATTTATAATCAGTTTTCAATCAAGAAAAAGCAAAACGTAACAAACCCTGTAACCAAAGACTACTAGATTACTTCACCGAAGTGGAACGGGGTATTTTAAAAGTACAGAAGTTTTACTACAGCTTCATCAGTTTAGCAATCTCTACAACTACAATGTTTTATTGTCGCGTCCATGGAAAGGAGCGACCGTTAAAGGAAAGAGAACACAGGCTTTTGCATTATATAGTTCCCTTTGTATGGAATATAAATTACATTCTTTAACAGATTTATATGTATTCTAGCTAGCTCTGAAAAGTCCAGACCTCCCACCTGGTGTTAACATCCCACCTGTATTTAGATATCATATCTGTACTTCTTATATTGCTAGTATATTATTGATTCTTCATTAGGAACTAAGAGGAGTGAGTCTTGCATTGTTAATTAACAACAGCAATGCAGGATGGACAAAAACAAATCACTCCTGTTTAGATGAATGAGATGTGGAACTAATGTTTACTAAATGTTTACTACATATTTACAGAATGGCCTTAAGATGAATGAAATATGTCCTTATAAAAGTGAAAAGCTATTAATGTTTCATCTAAGTATCTAAATGAACCAAAGTCGATCACGGCTGATCGCATGATCTGAAACTAAACAACAACAAAAAAATTACCTTCTGTTGGCCAGCGAAGACGACATCATCAGCACCATGCAAGAGCCACATGACAAAGTCACATGATGTGCACGCACATGATCGGTTGATAGGAAAATATAGGAAAGGAGGGAGGGGGAGAGGCGCGGGGCAAATGGAAAACATACACAACAGTTGTGAAATGATGAAAACATGTCAACAGAATAAACAAATGAACAATAATGTTAAAGACAAAATGACAAAAAGGGAACACAAACAACCGAGGGGAAAAACAATAATCGATAAATAGATTATTTACATATAAAAAAATGTTGCTGAGTGTATGAAGTAATTCCTGATTATTAGTTTTGGTTTTTGGAAACATGTTGAATACCTAATTAAATAACAAAGATTTTAAAATATTGATATCGGATACAACCAAAACCTGACATCAAGAATTGCCTCATGCATTCACATAAGCAGCAGCTTTTCCTCTGACTCATTCTCTGTCATTCTGATAGCTCAGATCACAGCAACATTAAATCCAATCTGAATTTGAACCTCGGTGAGCGCTGACACCATTTGAGGAGGATTACAGATATAAAAAGAAGGTTTGGATTCCCCGCAACAAAGTAGAAATCGGGTCAAAAGAGGAAACTCTGCAGCTTTTAGAATACAAATGGCAGTTGAATGCAAGTCGCACCGCGGCAGACAAACGCGTGGACGTGAAACCTCAGGAGAGAAACGATCTCAAAGCATTTGTGACATCTGCTTTGAATGACGCACTGTGGACTACCGCAGCACATCCTAGCTGACTCCAACGTAAAGCCACGTGTTGTTAAAAAGGGAGAGATTTGGTTAGGGTCAGTGCGAGGGCATCACATTTCGTACAGCGAAGGATCTCACTTAAAAGGAGCAACAACAGACGCACAACGCACACGTTACGTATCTCTACACACTGTCGCCTCAAACGGTGAAAGCCATGAGCAGCACGAGGGGTTAGTGGCTCTTTGCACACGGTACGCATGTAACAATACGTCACAACGTGGCCTCATCAAGCGGAGCTGATGGGTGTCCGTCGGCGCCGCGTCTTCCCGCTGACTGGGCAGGATGTGTGAACAGGCAAAGACTCCCCGGCTCGCCGCAATTACTGCTCGTGTTGTTCACTATCGCAGCGAAGGGGAACAATTTCCCTGACATCAGCGCCTGTCAAACCCCCCCCAGACGAGTTCAAGCCACGGCTGTCGTGGGCGGGGAGACGATCGGCTGCCGCGTCTGCGCCGAATGGACACGACGATAAGGCGAATTGACGGGCTTTCAAGAAACGTCGACGTCTCGAGTGGGTTTTGATAAGCGCTGCGATATGTGGATGCTAAAAAGGGGGTAGAAACCGGTTTTCGCAGGCGGTGGGAGGCGGAGGGAAAAGACTCACTGCAGCGTGGCACCTCCCTTCCTTTTGGAATAATCACAGTTAGACGGCTCAGCGATGAACTCGATGAATTCCATTCGGAAGAAAAACCCGCCGTAGTTCTACTGGTGAGAAGCACTTCTGCACACTCGTGAGCGTTGCTAAAAAGTAATGAGGTTTTCACTCCAAATAACCTCTGCAGGGCCTAAAATAGAAGTGGACTTAACTAATTTGATGTGGACATCAAGGAGGACGTGTGACACGCAGGGATCCTGTCACTAGTGACGTCCACCAGGAGCATAAACCTGCTGCAAATCCACTGCCCCCCGATCCCACTAGTCTTAAGTAATGCGCTGCTTTGAGTCTTCATGGGCAGACGCAGTGTGTTAATGCATTCACGACACCGTCGTCAGGCAGTTAGGAGGACAACCGTCACGTCCCCGGCAGGTGTTAGTCAAAACCATCAAATCTAGTGTTAACGCAGCTCATTTTGCTGCCGCTGCACTCTACAGAGAGCGTGCGAGAGCTCTCCTAGAGACGAACATCTACACTAAGTGTGAGGCCGAGCAGGTGAGAGACACAAGAGGCGGAGAGGGACACACTGCACACCGTGCGGCCGGCATACTCACTAAGGGCCGCACTGGTGACGGCATTAGGGGCCGACGTCTCTGATGACACTGAAAGACGGTGAAAACACGGTGAGCTGGAGCTCTCTTCAACAACCGCTGGGTGGGCTTCTGTTTTCACGCCGTCTCCGTGATTCGTTCCTTGTGCGACAATGTCTGCTGTTGTCGCTCAGTAGGCTCTCAGCACGCCCGTTGTGCTGCTAACTGCCACGCAAACAATGCCGACGCGCTGGGCCTACTTTGGCGAAACACTCTGCCTTGAATAACAGCTGATTGCCCGCGCGACTGGTGCGACGGGTCCGGACCACTCAGGGAAGGGTGTTTGTGCCAGAGGAATAAAAGCTACTTAGTGCATGTTCCCGCCTGAGTGTTGCCCACTTGGCTAGCTCGAGTCCTCAGCTGCCCTCGCCGGAGCGGTCACATCTGATAACATCGGCCCACCGACGGCGTCGCCATGGAAGCGACGACCCACCCACCCGGTTCCCCCTCAGCTGAGCTCCTTTGACACTCTCTCTCTGTTTTTTGCCTGTTTGCTGTGAGTTCGATAGAGGCTCCTTTCTCACTTTAGAGCATTTACAGCAATGACTTGATGTTGTCAGAGGTATTCTTCCAAGTGTAGCTCACACTCTGCTATATGTATGAGTAGTAAAAATGCTCATTCCAAGGTGTAGCTTCTTACCACCTGTTAAAGTTAAAGTTAAATAACCAGAGAACTGTAGGTACACTATTGCAAAATGTTCAATGTCAGTGCCAAAATAAAAGCACATTGTGAGTACAAGGGAATGCTTAACATTTCTGGCATTGAAGACCTTATTATCTAATCCCACAGCGATTACCACAAGGCAATGACACTGTATTTGTCTTTTGTGGTCTCTGAAGACGGTATACCTTCTTTAAAGACCTCATATACAGTAACACTGGCTGGCTAAACTGCTAAGTTCATACTGGTGGGACACCTAAAAAAGGATGCTACGGACAAACAGTACTAAAGAAGCAACGCACTAGAGATAACGGACTGGCTGCAGCATCTATGCCGTTGGAAAACCAACCTGAGGCCGTGTCAGAGTAACCGAATGGACTGCCGTCTGGAGAATCAGTACGACAGGTCATGAGATGAGCGTTGGTATTCAAGCAGGGTAAAACACATCTGAGGGTTTTGGGTGATGACTTCTGTGGAACCTTCCTGCCTTCAATCAGTAAAGCAATGTGGGTGACTATGTTTGCACAATAGCATCCTACTGGTTCCATGGGCAAAAAGCTAATGTCCTTTTGGGTAATTGCAGAAGATGTGTTGTAACGTAACAATACGTTTTGTTTAGGTGTGTATCTCCGTTCTAAAAGGAATGTAAGCATGAATCCAATCGCTAGTAAAAGGCTACTTGTTCTACTGTATAAACAAACTAAACTGTAGTCACATTTAGCCACCTGTTCACTATCGGAAATCAAAAGACATTTATTTAGGTATTTTTAGTGGTAGAGCGACGCGTTAAAATCTACAGCGGCTTTGAGACGATGGAACCTGAAGAGCCGGATGCTGACTCGTGTCCACATTATTCTGTCCTCACTACTTTTTAGGGAATGGTCAAAGTAAAGCAAATAAAGTGGAGGTTGAAATAAGGAGGGAAATAAAGGCGATAAGACAGAGGAGGAATGAAACTTACTTGCGAAAGAATACTCTGGGAAGTCCAGTGGAAAACAGAACAGATGGGAAACCATGATGAGGAAACGACGAAACAAAAAGAAGAAACAAAAGACAGTGAAATGAGAAACATGAACAATGAGAGAGTGCATCACCCCCCCCCCCCCCCCCCCCACACCCCCGAGACTGGAACTCACTACACTCTTTGTCATCAGCAAGTCTCGCTTCTCTGTGTTCAGCAGCAATCTGTCTTTGATAATACTGTTACTGTGTCCCTGTCAACATAAGCAAATCCCCCTTTGAATAATTCCTCGCTCAGATGGGACCTCGGTCCGGCGTTGTCTCGAAGGAACGCTGGCGTTCCGCGTGACAATCTCATGCTTCTTTGAAGTACGGTAACACATCGCACGACACTGAATCCTCCACGTCTGCTCTTCTGTCAGTGACGCACAGAGCTGCAATCGCATCCTCCTTCTTATACAGTACATACGTTATTCGTCAAACCTTCCAATGGGAACGGTGTACAATTAATAAATATATCAGACACAACGTTCTGCTGAAATGTCTCGAAGTAGGACAAAGCCTCTTCTTCAGGAATGAGGGTGCTGAGGGGAGGGGGTGTGGGGGGATGACGCACAGATGGAAGCAGGGCAGAGAGGCTGGTAGACACTGAAACAAAGATTATTCAGGACCCGGACTGAGAATTAGAATCTGTCGGTCCTAACTGAGGCCTCGGTAGACGGGCTCTGCAGTGGGTGGAAGGAAATAAGGATAATGCTGGTTTATTATGATTTGAGTCGTCCTTCCTATCAGAAATAATCACATGGAACCCACAAAGTAAATTGGAAACAGCGTCTGACACTCCAAGTAAGACAGTTACGCTCAAGCAAAATGAAATCATCACCCATAGTGTCATATATATATATATATATATATATATATATATATATATATGAACTATATTACATGCTTGCTGATTGCCTGACTGGGTGTGCTTCTGGACTTTATTCAATATCTCATTTATCACTCTGTTGAGTATAAAGCTTTTGGAATTGGAAGTGTAAATATTATTTACATGAACACATCAAGTGGATCTGGTCTGTGCTGCCTCTGTCGAGATGAAAAATAGTAATAAAGCCTGCCATGTTGGTTTGCGCTACTGACTTTCCATTTGTTTTTATACAAATAAAACCTAAAATGTTATTACAAGTAGCGGTGCAACTAAATTAGTTTTGCGCACCTCATTTGCTTGATGCCTGTATTTACATATTCTGAATAACAATAGTGAAAAATAACTATTGACGTTTTAATTTATCATACACAAATGACGCCCCCAGCGTCCTACTGCATGAATGCAAATCTCAGAGATGACTCTTCTCTTCAGTAACGCACTGAGCCGATTTTAGACTTTCGGGCCTAATTTGTTCTTCGACGAGAAAGCTTTATCCGACATGCTGCTGCGCAGGAAATGAACACATAATTGTCACATTTTACGTGAAGTTGGCACATTGTGATTGACGGCAGGTGTTGTGCACCTGCTCTTCGCTGTAAGGTTGCACATAATGCCATATGCCTTCCACAGCTGCGATTTCTCACCAGGAGTCACTTAAACGGTGCAACGCAGACGCTGCCTTCAAACTTCCCTCGTCTGCCGAGAACGAGCGGGAACTCACGCGGCTCTCCCTTCTTTTGTCAAGGTGACTTCTTCCTGCCTTCTTCCAAACACAGACAAAAAGAATGCGTCCTCCTCTTCCTCCGACATTTCCTCATGTGCTGTCATTTACTCCGGGAAATACAAACAACCTTCGAGCAGAGGCCTGACCCTCTGGCAGCTGCATGTTATCAACGCGCGCCTTTGCTCAACTATAAATACTCAGCTGACACTTCCTCACACGGTCGCGTAAATCAGCTATAAAAATGCGCCAGCACTTTTACAGGAAGCTTTCACTGAAGCGTCTGAGTTGTGGGCTAAACAGGACGGACCTCCGGGGGAACGAGGCGAGCGGCCGTTGGGAGAGAGGCGCGCGGCGCTGACCGCTGACGAAGGGCGCCGGGTTGCACTTTGCATAGTTCACCCGGGGGGGCAAGGTGCTTTCGCCGGGGGGCACTGGGGTTTTCTCTTCTCCCTCGGCCCCGGCGGGAAGGCCCAAGGAGGGCCCAAAATAACCGGAGCCGCGCGGTGAGGTCCCACACGGGTTAAAACCTTCGGGGGGGGGGGGGGTCAGAGGAGCGCAGACTGGGCGCAGGGGGGCGAGCAGCGCGGGGGGGGAAAGGGGTACTTACGGACTGGCTGGGTCGTGAAGGTGGTGGCCGGGCTGCTCTCGCCTTCGCCCTTGCCGTTGATGGCCGACATCTTGATCTCGTAGGTGGTCTCCGGCTTCAGGCCCACGATGGTGATCGTGGTCATCTCTGCGGGAGGGGAGTTGGCGTCATTCCATGCAGATAGACGAGGGAATGAATGCTAAACGTTTACCGTCATGGGGGATTATGTTTGTCATAATGATTACTTATTTTGCTATTGAGTGAACAAGGTTGTTCTGGGCAGAGGTTTGAGCTCTGTGTATATTATATTTTACAATATATTCTACATCATCATACATTTTATTTTTTGATGTTTCTACCAATCTTTCAAACTTCAAAAAGATAAAGATATTTTTTCACAAAATAAAAGGAATAAAGTAATAGAAAGCCTGATCTAGCTTTTTTGTTGTTGATTTTTTACAACTTGGTTAGAACCAATCAATAAACTCACAGATGCCTGCAGTGGCTTAAAATAAAATAGACTTTATTTTTATATGTATTGTATATGGGATTGGGTAGTACTTGCACTTACTAGTAATTGATTTACTAATCCCGTTTGGGATGAAAGATGGATACTGATCGATTGCACCAATGTACCAAGTCAAATTCCTCTATGTGTAACATACGTGACAATAAATGGCTAGAGACCAGAGAAAGAGAAAGGTGTTGACGTGTTTGTTTGTGTCAGTCAATCAACTTGTATGCTAATGACTAGCTGTCGTGCTGAAGAGGTGTCAGGTCTTAAGGTGAGGCACCTAATGGTGCTTGCATGGGAGCATACGGGTGCGCCTGCATGACAATACGCTGCACTTAATGGTTCCAGTTTGGGAGATTAAAAATATGTGGAGCCTGATAAAGAGCACGAGGCCAAATTAATCCAAGGCTGGACTATTAGCACCTGCGGTATCAATAAAACTGACATCACTGCAGAAACCATTTATGTTCAGATGAGATTCCCAGTTGGCCGTCAGTAATACACGCATGATTACTATATTCCTCTGCTTCTCTAAAAGGTTATCGGCATAAATAACCTCATATAAAATCATAACAATCGTTACAAATCCGTCTGACTGCGTTGTGTGTTAATCATTGTGCCGCTACGACTAAATGGCAACAATTACAGGATGCGCCAGGGGAAATTCTTAATTTTGGTAAATAAATCCCATGAAAAGACCAAGACAATGTGTTGTCTGTGTAGGCAAAGACTTATTGGTTAGAATTGGAAACGAATCAACATTTATTTAGTCGACTGCAATTAAAAACGAGTCAATCCAACAGATGTCCTTAAGTGATGCTTGCTAAAAAACATATTGTCTATTTTTTTTGTCTAAGTTATTTTGCCTGACAAATGATTTCATTGATAAAAGTTTCCAGGGTATATAAAGCGTAGCAGGTGCTGAGGCTTCTGATTGTAGCTCCATGTGAACGCACACTGCGGATGCACATATTTATATAAGGACCCTCATTGATGGGCTGGGTGTCTACATGTGGCAGTACTGCATTCAAACATGTGATGGCAGCCCTGAATCACAAAAATTGCAGGACACACTTTGAACTCAAACTCATTGATCTCTTAATCAATGACAAATCAGTCATGACTACGCTGGCATGTTGCATCTTACATGGCCGAGCTTTTATTTAAAATATGCACGTACTTTGCATGAGATGTGGTTCATTCAGTGAAGGTTTTTTTTTATTTATGTGGCGTGACTCAAGTTGTTGAATGACATATTCTCGGTGACATTTACAGTTGGCGTGCGGGTGCACGCGCTTTGTGTTGTGCACACGCTTGCACAACAGGCGGCTCTCGGGGGCCTCGAGATCACAGCGAGGCCTGTCAGCCGCTGACTGATACGTCCCATCTGGCGGAAGGAGCGAGGACCATCCGGAGCTGTAAGAGCCTCAGAGCGCTCAGTGGGACGCGGATATTATCCGGAGTCTGAGCTGACTGTCGTTTGAGCTGCGGTGGGTTCCACTGCTCCTCCCCACATCAGCTGCTGTCATGCTCGCGTTAGCTTTTGTTGCTAACTAAGGTGTTGTCAGTAGTTTGGCCCAAATTTCACCTTCTTAGATGAAATACGAGGAATTATAAGGGAAAAGGGGAAAATGTAATGGAATTTTGTCAGTTGTATTGGTTTCCTTTTACTTATTTCCATTTGGGATACACATTATGTTCTGGCACGACAGCAGTGTCTTTATGTCTTTGCCAAACGTTAGATAAAATAATAAATAACTAATATATTGCAGCGTAGCAATTAGAGTAGGTGGGTCACCGGAAAGGTTCAAATGTTACGATAAAAGGCAAAGTTTTACCGGACTGCCAAACCGATTTAAGGATTACATTTATTCACACACGTTGACTAAGTCGATTCTGGTTCCTTTGATGATTTTGAGGCACGGTGTGCGTTTAGGTGCTGATTGAAATAGCTTGAGAAGAGAACCTAGCAAACACGGCCCCTGAGTAGACAACTTTAGAACATCCATTGCATCCACTTTGCTTGATTTAAAGTACATTTCCCAAGGCTTTCTGGGCAAAGTGGTGGTGACTCAGAGAGCAGCTGAACACTGAATCGCATTGAACGGAAAAATACATCACAGCAGGTGTTTTTGTCAATGACAAATAAATGCTTTTAAAAAGGCGACCACACGACTTCTTTAAAATAATTTCCGTGAATACATATGAGAGGCCAGCTGGGTGACTCACCGTCGTCAGCATGGTACTCTTTGCCAGTCCAGTCCTGGCCGGGCAAACGCCATTCCACTCGGTACTTGATAATAGGAACTCCACCCATGGAGTCGGGCTCTTCAAACGACACCACCGCTGTGCTGGAGAAAGGTTCCACTAGTTCGATTTCTGGCGATGACGGCACATCTGCGATAGAGTGCAAAAAAAAAACATTTTAAAAACCAGCAGTGCTGCAAAGATTCCCGTGAAATAAAATAAACTCACAAAATGCATGTAACTCACAGCATACAAAGAATGAAATGTTTATTGATTCGCAGTGTCTATGAGAAACAACCTGGCACTGAAGACATCCTATTATTTTCTGAAATGCATATTACGTTTTCATGATATATGACAAGCTAGTTAGCTAGTAAGCGAACATTGTAATGGTGCATCTGGTTTCGTGAGGGAGATGTTTTTAAGTTTCTTCCCGGGCTTCATAATGTATGGTTGCCTGACATTTGCCTTGCCGAGCGCTCTACGTGCACGGGCATTAAACAAATTCAATTTGAATGCAGAAGAGCAGCTGGTGTGGCTGCCTCACATTGATACCTGCCACGGAAACACCTTCTGATAATGCTCTGCTCTAAATCAGCCCCCCCCCTTTTGACAGCTGTGGTGCTGCAGGCCTCTGGTCACCAAAGCACTGCAGATCTGTTGGACACGCCTGAATGAGCCTGCAGCGACAGCTTTACCTCGAGCCCGAGTCGAACCCTGATTCATGAAGATAGGGCCGAGTGCCACGGAGATTGAGCACCGCACTCGATTCAGTCGTCTTCTTCAGACACAATATTTAAAGCTGTCTTTTTATCTCTTAAGGGACGGGCATAGTGGCGGCAACCGGTGTGCCGCTCGGGTGTTAATTCAATCCATTCAATTGGTTTGTTTCTCTTACAATTATTGCTCGTAAAAATTCAAGACAGCATATTTATCTTTTTATTTTTATTTTCAACTCCCTGACCTGTCCTCTGCTGCATCGATAAAGCTAAATGTATTGTGTGGACGTATTACCAACACATTTGCTCACCCCATCGAGGAGCCTTTAGGAAGAGCTCTTTTGATTTGACTGATGACCTTTCTTCCAGCTAGCGATAACATCAACTTTTTATTTGTCAGCTGTGTCATATTGTTTGATGCTCCGCACGACTTTCCCCTGGAACAAATGCTCAGTGCCGGTAATTACGAAGCAAAAGCGCTCTCAGGCCGCGGCTACATTTATCTTTTCAATTCGACTCCTGCCATTAGATCACGCCAGGACGCGTTAGCGGCTCCGGGCTGCGATCCGATCGGCCAGACCTCACGCCAGGATGTCCTGGCTCGCTTCGACTCAGATCTCAGTGAGGTGTGGACGGCATGTGGGCTCAAATCGGCCAATTCATCAAACGCAGGAACAGCAATCATCTTTCCCACATGAGAGTTCCCTCCTTAGCGAAGGGAAGATAGGAAGAGAGCGGAGCTGGAGCGCCGCCGTCGGAGTCATGTTACATTATCGCTGATGAAAACGGCAACATTTTACCAATTAACAGGGGACTTCCACAGTGAAGAATTTAAAGGGAATTAAATGGAGTTTATCCGTCATTTTACAGCTGCTCATTTGACCATGAAATATATCACATCCCTGTCCAATCAGGCGGATCGTGTTGAAGTGTTAATTATGCACACACATGGCCGTCCTGGCTCATCCAATCACAAATGCATATTGAAAAGACATGTGTATCCACGTCCTTAAAGCCGGCAGGAGAAAACCTACGAACCGTCAACTCGCTACCGTCATATCAACAGAAACACAACAGGAGATGCCCCGGTCTGCCATGAGAAATCTACTGGATCTTTGCTGCTTTCGATAACCACCAGCATGCAATGCAGAGACAGTTTCATTACCTTTGAAATTGAAACAGGTTTGTTAAGTGAAGCTCTTTTCTTGGTGCTTCTTCTATACATTTTGTCATTGACTTTTCAAAGTGGGAAATAAGGGCTGAGGACGCATTTGGGTTTGGTTCTTTTTGTCGCACTTTTGATTCAGTTGGAAGGAGTCCCTTTAGGCATTCAATGAGTTATGCAGTGAATTAAAAAACAGAGAGAAAACACCTCAAAGGCTCGAGAGTATATTTCACAGTCGCAGCAGTGGCTGTTAGCACAATTAACTTGACCACTTTGTATTTAAGCAAGGTCCTGAGTGGCCTACCTGCTTCATTCAGTCCGAAACAATTTGCATAGTGAATGGAGCTAATACATAAATGATTTAGAGTGCAAAGAAAATATGACTTAAAGGACGGATCCACGGCCGTTATAATTGTGCCCTCTACCAGCGGGAGCGGTGGAGTGCTTCACAACTGTCTGCATACTCTCTCTCTCTACAGGCTGCCTTTCAGACATCATTTCAAATACATTACACTGAGATTAAGATCCATTATTCGAATGCACCTATTTGTATTGCCCGCATGTTTCAACACATGGGATTAATCTTGAGCTCGGAATGAACATTTTTTGCGACAGGGGTTAGATGGATGTTGTCAATTGGTTCTTCTGGCATAACGCTGTTAGATAGAAAGATAAGTAATGAAATTAAAAAAAAAAAAAACTTTACACTTTAACTTAAATGCAATGCCAAACCTGCTTGGATCAGGACGAACTCCTTGGACTCGGAGCCCATCGCATTGGTTGCTGTGCAGTTGTAGGTCCCAAAGTTATACTGAGAATCAGGGGTAATCTGAGAAAAGATGAAAACACATCCGATCTGAGAGAATGAGAGCGACTCATTTGGAAAACGGACTTCAGGCAGAGATATAAGTTCATCATGGACATTTAGCGCTTCATAACCAATAACTTGCTACACAGCTTCAGTGAGGTGCAGCATACCTCCAGGTAGCTGATGGTGGGCGTGTTGTAGACCTTCACGTTGGTGGTGTTGGCGGAGGGCAGCTGGAGGCCGTCTCTGGACCAAACCACCGAGGCGCCGGGGTGAGCCTCCGCCTCGCAGCTGATGTTGGCCGCGTTCCCCTCCCATGTGTACACCGTCACTGTGCCCAGGATCTTTGGAGCATCTGCGGCAAAACACAGTGGCGAAAAGATGGAAAACATCGCAATGGGAGAAAAAAATGTAGATGCACCTTGTTGTTTAATGGATTTCTCCTTTGACCGCCTGATAATCTCCGACAGCGGAACGAGATCTTTATCCTTTAGTAACTAACTACAAGACTTTCACGGTTGCTAGTCCACTCACACAACAAGACATTTGAGTCTACATCCTTCCTCCACCAGCATACGTATTATCATCAAACCCGTCAAATGCCTGAATGAAAAATCCACGGGACTGATAGGAACCCGGGAAAGGCCACACAGTCGTTTATTGACGCATCAATGTACTGCGGATTGGCAATATTACCTCCATTCCCTGGAGATCCTCTTCTCAGCATTTCCAGCTGATGTTATCATGACTTACCAAGGAGATATTTGATTTAGAAATCGTTGCAATCAAAAAAGACGTTTAAAACTCACTCCCGGGGGGCCGCCGGAGCCATCACGACAATGCTGACGGAACCTGGAGTCTTAATCGCAAACCAAGCGCTAAGTTTAGTTTAATAGCTTCTATTTATCTTACTCCTGTACATTTACGGCAATGGCTTTCATAATATCTATTATGGGGGCTTTCAGGGACATTAAATAGCCCGTTTTTGTTGCGATTTTTACTCGTAACAAAAAGTTGGTTTTATGTGAGATGAACCAGTTCAGCAATTACAAAAAAAAAAAACTCCCCTCATCTCGCAGGCCGGACTGCCGTCATCCCACAGAGAGTCGTACCGTCAGGAGTTAATGGGAGCCTGACTCAACAGAAACAACGAAGCTGGACCTTCTGACCGCGGGGGGCTATTTTAGGGCTTGATGAAAGTTGAGATCCTTCCAACTCTGTAGCACCTCTCTCGTTTGATACCTGCTCTAAACACTGCTACCATTCACGCTGTGGCCCAGGTCCTACTGCGCGGCCCACTTTGATGTGCTCGTTGAATTGAATTGATGCCACATGGTCGAAGCTCTTGACCCACGAGCCGTATTCATCAGCATCGCCAGGGGCCCTAACCGGAGACGACGAATGTTTTTTCCTGCATTGTTTCCTTTCATTATATCCGGCTCACATCACTGAGCGGTGCTTCTGAATGCGGTCGAGTATGCTTGGCTTCCTGCGCGCTCTGAAACGCGGCGGCCCCTGACACTGCAGGGGCCTCATGTCTGACCTCGGATCCTTGAAAACCGTGCGGTGTGCTGCTGCTGGAATTGATGGCCGAGGCCCGGGTCAATAAACGCTGCGTCTCCTGCAGCCCTGATACGACTCTCACTCTTTCTACCAGTGCTGAGTGTTGTTGACTCAATACGGCGCCTGTGACTCGCCTGTTGGATTTCTATTGCTTCGTAGCCTGGTAAAGGTCATGCTAGGTTTGCAAATAATCATTTAGGTCCCTAAAAAGGTGTTTTTTTTTTTTTTGCAATATTCCGAAATCCATCGGAAGCATCCCGGAGGCTTTTTGGACGAGGGAACTGGGGTGATGCTGACTTACACAAGCACGTCATCTCTGCAGCCCTCCGCAGCGAGCAGGACAGAGACAAGGACGAGAGTGGAACTCCCCGCGGATTGAACCCTGTGATTAGGAGAGATTTTGACTAAACAAACCTCGTATGCCGACAAAACGGAGCTCACGCCGAGAAGTTATTAACACTTTCCTATCAGTCCTTCGACAGCTAACACACTCAGCCGAGCTAATGGGATCATGCTGCGCCGCAGATAGGAAGTTCCGGGCTTTGATAAGGTTTTCATTGTGCGAGTGGGCGAGTGGTGATAGAGGGGACAGAGAGTGAGAGCTGTGTTCAAGACAAAAGCACCTTTTCTTATCCGTAATTGCTTGGCAACAGTGAATCAGCTACCTGATTACGTGCTGATTACTCCCGCAAACTGAAAGCCCTCAAACAACTCCATCAACGCAGCGCTGTGATTATCTCTCCGAGCAAATTGCTGGTGCATTGGGAGCGGGGAATATTAATCCAATTAAACGTTCACGGGCTTCATTTATCTCTATTTTTTGACCACGTGACGTTCGATAGATTCCGAAACAAGATCAAGTGCGATTCGGCTTCCATCGCGCACGTCCAATCTTTCCAAGGACGTGTCTTGAGAATGCCCACTTGCACCGGGTTACATTTCTGAGTCTGCAATCCTCCTTGATTGTGAAATACGTTGGCTCCTTCTGGGGAAAGATTCACTTTAAGATATACAGTCTCTAGATTTCAAGGCAGCTTTGTTCCGTCTCTGCAGAAACAGTGATTGTGAGGTCAACGTCCTGATTTCAGCCGTCTCGTCTTTTACTGTTGACCCAAAATGTATTTGAGCACATGGAAGCAATTTCATTATAGTTCAATTTGAAACTTTAGTAAAGAGGCCAAAGGAATGAATATTTCGGAGTTCTTGATGACCTAACCCTTCACGCCGTAACTCCCATCAGTCCCATATTTGTATAACTGCCAATCAAAAACAGTCATTTTGGTCTATTCTAAAATACTAATTGCACCGTTGCATGGAATGGTGAGCCTCAAAAGCCACGCCGCCTCGAGGCTATGTCCAATGAGACCCTTGTTTCCATGGTAACAGATCGCAGTGGTACCTGTGACCCGGCAAAGTCTGTTCTCTGACTTCTCCCCAGAATCAGCGGTGACTGCCTGGACGTTGTGTCCTTCCTTTGGGCGTAACAAGCGCTCCCCCTGATCGTCCCCTCATTTTCAAATGCGTCTATTTGCTTCCATTGCAATGTTTTCATGTTCTTCTGATTCTTTGCAAGGTTGAGTTGTAACGGTGACCATTCAGTCAGCTTTCTAGATCTAATAACCGGCAGCCGGTTGTAGCAGTTATGTGTGAAGACAAGCTTAACATTTGGTCATTTGTGTCACAACCTACTATGAATGAGTGTTTATGTGGATAAGTGTGGATTTATGATACAACTTAGCTCTCCCTCAAGCAGGTAATTATTTCTTCATGTCAGAACAATGTTAGAAGGGAAAATTAAGTCGGCAGTCCTTGTCGTGTGACAGACTACATCATCTTCCCATTTACATAAACTAACAGGGACATAAACTGACAGGCACGCTCACTCCGGAACTTTATACCGCTTTGCTTCACCTGCAATGGGACCAATCTGTTGCTTGTTAAAAAAAAAAAAAAAACTTAGTTACGGTGTTGACTTCAGCAGAATCCTTTTGTGAAGAGGAAAGAGACTTTTGCTGACGCTGTTGTTAACTGTATAATCCGCTCCTTGGTGCAGTGAAGCAATCAATGAATTACTTCAGAATTAAAAGTTCTTATTTTTCAACAAAAAGATGCGTAATATGAGACTTTCCATGTCATGGTGGTGTCTGGTTTTGAACGCGTGTGACTTGCTAACATTTCAGTATTCAAATGCAAAGTATTTAGAGTATATATAACTCTAATGTGTTAGTAACCTGTTAAAGCCAAGCAGTATGTGTTGACCTTTCCCCCCGTCGGGCTGCAGAACTGAAGAGTGAGCAGCTGTCTGGTGTACCTGAACAACTGGGGTTATTGATTGACCCGCCTGCAGGTCAAATCAACAGCTAATGAACAAAGCCCAGAAGAAGCTGTCAAAAGCCACTTTGGAAAACAGAAGAAATCACCACCTGAGCAGGAACAGACATCGGCTGGGCAGCGATAACGTCCATTACAAGGCAATTACTCACGGAATGCACGGAGCAGCACAGGCTGCCGGCGGATCGCTGGTCCGACCGGCGGATTCTACAATCGACGACTAGTCTCTAACGGACTCTTAATTACGTGGCATTTCATTTGAAGACTGTCCCGGGGAACTTTGGAGACGGCAGCAGCCGCGGCGGCGGCAGTTTGATGTCAGCGGCAACACAGTATGTGCAGTACAAGAAGAAGATGGCGTTGCTGTGAAAGTATTATCCCCAACGTCTGGCAGCTATTGAAAGACAAATAGAGTTGTGTGACTTACAGCGGACCTCCAGGTACATGTGCTTGTTGTCCCGGCCGATGGAGTTAGTGGCCGTGCACAGATACTCTCCGGCGTATGTGAAGAGGATGTTCTTCAGGGTGAGCGAGGACACCCGGGCATGGCTGCGTACCACAATATTTCTATCAAGGCTCTACAAAGAAGAGGGAAAAAGTCATTAGTTTCACTTGTAAAGATGCACATCTATGATAATGTGTGTAGTTCTGAATCCTGAAGAAGTCTGCAACACACAGGACTATGAAGAAAGAAAGATGATTTGGGAAATGAATGGACAGAAAAGGGCAACGAACAGTGTGAGCCGTGTGAATTCAAGTGCAAAAACACCGACAGAAATAGAAAATGCATGAAAGACTGAAATCACAAGATAAGACTGGGTTTATTAGTTGCATTATTGTAAGGTGAGGGCCACAGACAGGTTGGGGACTAGATCCGACTGTGGGATTATTGACAAGAAGATAACACAGAGATACACCAGACTTTGGCCTCATCCACAGTGAGGATTTTGATTTCAAAGTAAACTTCCGTCTTTAAGTTAAGAGATTCGGCTTGAAACCACTTCCTTCGGGTCAAAAATGGATTTCTGGTGTATTTGAACTTGACAGACTGGCGACTCACGGGACAAATTAAGTTCTACTTTTAGTTTCACTAACGAGGTTCTCCTGTGTGAAAGTCCTGATCCACCCAAAGCAGTTCTTCGTACTCTACATACCCGTTGTTCTGAGGTTACTATGACGATGCGGGGGAGATGGCCTTGGGGGTTAGTTCACACACTGATGCGGCGAATACAGTTGCTGAAGGGTACCTCCGTGCATTTGTATCAGATGCCAAAGAGGGACTGAAACCTTTTTTCAAAACGGAATTCTATGCGTCATTCTCAACAGCATACAAATACCATTCACACAAACGTTGACTTGTAAGTAGAGACACGGTGGACTTCATGGCCACTGAGAAACTAGCCCTGCATCAGCGATAAAATGAGCCAATACACATGCCCGGGGAAAAACAGTATGCTGATTGCTGTCCCGACCGTTTAACAGTCTAGTTGTGGGTTTACAGACAGTTTAATTGCAGTTGGAGCACTATAAGTGCAGTTGTGACACATGCATTGTTAAACCTTGTTGTTATTTTCCTCAGCAGATGCCTTTGATTTGCTTTGCCTACTCGGTGGAACCTGCTGAGTCGTGGATACACAGCGTCGCTAATGGTGCCTTATTTAGAACAAGCTTCTCAGTGCGGGCTGCTGACATCAGGGCACACGCCCAACGACCTCAACTCGCCCTTTTAATCTCGGGCCGTAACCTTTGTTAGTCTGCGCTGCGCACGTCACCAACTACAAGCATGAGGCCAGTTGCGGTCTTTGTTCTGAGTGATGTCAACAGTCACCCCTGAGTATTTTCATATTGTGTCTTTTGCCAGATAGTGAATGTTAGTTTCCCTCTGGGACATCAATTGAGATTTAAAAATATCCTGCAGGCAGGAGCAGGCAGACAAGGAGAGGAGCTCTGAGGCCGGTTCTAGGCAGTTCAAGATACGGCATCATTTTTCTTCTCTTGGGGCGACACCGAGTTTGGACAAAGTCATACATCTTCCTTCTACCTGCCAAGCTTTGCTATTCATGCTGTAGGCATTAAAGGCACATTCAGGTTGTATAAATAATTGAATGTTTTCTTTTTTAAATTAGCATTATGGCGTGGGGAAGAAACGTGCGTGCTGTTTTCTGAGGATCTGAGGGAGAGTCCTGGAACATTTGTGAAGAGCAGCATTAATCTCGCCTCACTGCAGTGACACAGGAAGAAGCTGCATCGAATGTAAATTAGTTTAATGAATAATAATAATAATTTAGTCATAAAACAGAGCGACGAGTGAGCAGGCAGACCTTTGAACAAGAAATATTAATTCCTTATTTTGTAGGTTTTTCATTTTACAACTGATTCTTCAATAAATAAATTGTGATTAAAGGCATCGGATTGATGCCACATAGTCGTCCCCGTTCTGTGCACGTGCCCCTTGTTTGGCTTTTTACATTGGCAATGCACATGTTTTGCTTGGCATTACATCTGCACTACAACAGTTGAGAGCCAGAACAGCCACAAAACAAACCCTGTTCATGCTTTAGATGTGCCGTTTGCATTTGTGCTAAACTTAAATCAAAGCGGACACATGGTTGGTTTCACAGGAGCTAAGATGCAATGATCTTACTCTCTGGATTTTTTTTCCTCTTCAACAACTACAGATCTATTGACGCGAACAAAATGCAACATTAATGTCACATTGGATTTCTGCAGACGAGGAACAAGTGTTCATATCAAACTCCAGACGGTGGTTACAAAATAGGCCACGTGAGCTTTTTCTAACTTGCATTGCCAACAAGTTCTATTCAACATCCCGTTTTAAGTACAGCTGAGGCTGATAGGAATGTCATTGGTTTTCGATGTATTTGATGAACTATTGATGAAGAGAGAAGGAACAGTAGCTGACATATAGGAATAGTTGAACCTGCTGGTTGTAGCTGATCCTTAATTCTGCTGTAATCCTGTAGTTCTTTCCAGTCTCTGGCGTTCTGGTACATCTTTTGTTTCCTAATGGCTGACTGCAGCTCCCTAATCCATATCCCTGATTACAATCAAAGGGCTGGTCCCCTTCGTTTGTTCAACAAACATATCTATATATTTTTTAAAGTATAGGCCACCCCGTCCCTACAGATGCTGTAATAACACGGTGATTCCTGCTGTCATTCTTGCTGGGTTGTGAAAACCCATTTGTCTGACCGATCAAGATAGATTGATTGAGCTGATAAAAGCAGAGCTGTGTTTTACGAGCTCAGAAGCTGCATAGCTAAGCCAACAATGTCTGATATTGGCCGCTGCACACAGAATTCAATTCAAGATGAACTGTCTCTGGATGTGAGACATGAAGGGCGTGAGAACTAATGGTGCATTCAAGCAGTCTTTGTCAGCTGCAGACGACAATGGCAGAGAGACAAGTTACTTACCATTATTCTACAAAGCAGATCATAATGGATAAGTGGTATAGTTACACAATACACCTCTGCAAAACCTGTACTGAACAGATGTCTAAGCTGCTCACAATAGCAGGTACAATTTCCTTCTTCCATTATTTATTCTGGACAATCTCTTAACTTTAAGTAATGCAACGTATGCAATGTATTACAATGCATCTAATTCAGGGTTGATGCTCGTTAGCAGTTTGATTCACGCGTATCACAGCGCCAAGCTTAGCCGCTGCAAACAGTTATCGACGGTGGGCTACATCCAAATATTTACATGGAAGCATTTTCTGTCTCAGTTGCTGTACAGAAGCACAGACTGACAATATCTGCAAACACATACAATATGAAACCCGGTGTGTTCAACACAGATCATGAGACAAGTTAGTTTTATGTGATTCCCGTCTTCAATGCTTTCATCTACGCAGCCAGATACGAGCAGCCGTATCCGGTTAAAGTCTATTTCTACCGTCTCTCATGAGACGTGAGAGTGAGGGACACCAGGGGGAAAAGGAGAAAGGGGACAGCAAGCAAGTTATGCACATCAGACACATCTCTCCAATGGAATCATCGACTAACAAAGCGCCGCACAGTAAACTACAGCAAACGTTTTACTTCAGCTAATAGATGGTTGTCTACAAAAGGAAAACACCATCAGGTAATTATGAAACCGACCTTCTCCACATCGTACCGTGCTGCCTGAATCAAAGTGGTGAGCTATACAGAAACTCATAACACAACAAGATACTCACATAATAGTACGTATGTTGCAGACGGTCTGCATGGAAACTATAATCAATACAACTACCTAAGAATACGGATGCCGCAGATGCTGAAATCACACAACAACGTTTTGATCGTGTTGGTTTCAGACATATTGCATTAAAGTTTCTTATTATACTTAATGAAAAGAGTTTGATCAGATAAAATTAGCAATTCTGGCACTGAATTGTCTCGTTGGCTGGTAAAATGACACGTTGCATGATTATAGGAAAAACAAGCCGTGAGGACTGGTGCTGGTGCAGAGCCTCCTCACACGGCTAGCCTTGGGTTCTTGAACACGGACCAGAAAGCAGAGCTGCACAAGTTAATTTATAGAGGGCTTTTAAAAAAAAATGTAAACTAACATTAGTACGTGGGGTTCATTGAGTTTTCTCACAGAAAAGCTTGGTGAAATAAATGAATTGCTTCCCTTGTCGGCAGCGAGTGTAGTTAGCGTGTTAAATGGTGTCAGTTCTATCTAAGAACAGTACCTCTTACCTTGAGGAAGAGAGTTTGCATGTTTCTTTCCAATCAAACACCGCAGCAGGGAGATCGTGCAGAAATATCAGAGATGCACATCTCAAAACCTGAACCGAACCCAGCAGGACCAACAGGATCACAAGGCCCCACTGAAGGTGTCAAAACACGCAGACATGCATACGCTAGTCGGCCACGGCCCCGTTAGGAGTTAGTACAACTTGGTGGCAGAGCAGACCGTGTTGTTTTTATGAGCGAGGTCCTGGAGCTGCCGGCCGATCGGCAGCCCCGAGCAGGAATGTGTCTCCGACTCTGAATCGCACAACGTCCAGGAAAGCAGCCAGACCATGCAGCAGGAAATGGCGGCGTGCTACATGGTCAACATCTACTTCGAGGTCCTGTGACTTTACCGCCGTCTCGACAAAAATAGACGGGAACAAGTAGATAGAGTAGAACGGCTACTGGAACTAAGTGGATTAAATGTACTGTGCTACTCGCTAATGGTCTACATATTTAGACTGAATGACAACACCTCTGCTCTGCAGTAAGAAGGGGATGGTCTACCAAGTGAGTTTAGGCTGCTACCACTAGAGTCAGGCTACCATGTTTAGTAGCCATACCTCGTATTTGTCTGGTCGCGTCCAAGAAGCCTAGAAGGAAGCAAAGACAAACAGCCACACAGAGGAGCAAAGTAAGCTTCGTGCACAATGGATTTACCTGCAGGACAACGCTTTCATGTTTCGAGGACCGTACCTGGGATTTTGAATGTATTAACTCATCGGCTCCGAATAAATTGCAACCAATCATTTTCTGGCACACGCCAGAGTGCATTTTCTACCCTGTGGTTATTTTTTCTATTTACATCCATTGAAAAAAAAAAAAAAAAAAGATGGAAATGGACTTAAAAGTGTCTTTGAAAATGCCATGTGAGTCAAGCAATCCATCATTATGAACTTTGTGTCCGCTGTTGTTTGCGCCGAGCAACAGCAATGTAACTTTGATCAGAACTAACGCGGACATAATGCTCACTGTGATAGATTACCCAACAACCTAACGTCCAGGAACTTGCATTGATTTTCATACCCAAGTGAAACAAATGGAAACCAATGCCTGCCTGAGAGGTAATTTGAATGTCTACTGCTCTGCCACATGCTTTGGAAGTGCAGCAGTAATGTGCAATATACATGATTTATGTCCAAGAGGTTTAACCGTGGATGCATACTGGCATTGTTTGTATACACAATTAGCTTAACCATTGATGAGGATTACAGGGAATTACTTTCACATTGGAAATTTTTCCTCCAATTTGTATTTATTACAATTAGGATTCTGTCATGAATAAATAAGACATATGAGCAATAAGAGCATAAGCAATATTAAAACCCCACATCATTAATTTCAAGGTTTCTTAAACGGGAAGAGGGCTATCGGGAATTCTGGCTTGGCAGTTTTAATGCGGTTACACAACTGGACAAAATGCCGGACTGGATTTTCCTTAAGCAGCATGGGGGCTTCCCAGTTGGATATTAATAAAAGTACTGAAATAAGGGAAACTGTGGAAGCACACTGAGAAAAAACAGGGCTTTGAGACTAATTATGAGTGAGCCATTAGCTGTATCTAGGTTTTCCTAATAAGCAGCCTTTTCATCTTGCTATTTTTTTATTAACTCGGTCATGTATGTGCAGAAGACGGGGTGAACAGCACACATATCTCATCAATTAGGTTATGTAAATTAAAAGTACGCCCTCATTATGTATAAAAAAAGAAAAACATGATAGTAATGTTGAAATAACCTTTGGAAGTTGGAAACGGGCAGCGGCAGCGAGTCAAACGGCGTCCCGTCATTTCATATCACTCTGTGCTCTCGTAATCGTGCTGCTGTGATGTAGAATTTGAATGGGAATTGGTAAACAGAAAGCAACCCAATGATGATTGATGATCCAGGGAAAACAACAGTCGTCACGAAAAATAATTAGTGGGATTTTTAAATGACATCATCGTTGGATCAGAATAGATCGGACGGTGATGGATGTGAGAGGGAGGGACGACTGTAGACGGAAGAAGATGCGGCGCGACAACCGAAACTGGCAACAGGCGAGTCCCGTCTTGCAGGTGGTAGATAGGATTCAGTACCTCGCCCAGCAGCCATGAATGCCCCGAGCTGTGTGAATGCTTCCACTGATTGCCAGTGATGGGCTGGCACACTTTATGGGAAAAACTTCAAATTCCCTTGTGATTGACTGATAATGCTTCAGTAGAACCTAGAGTCGAAAAATAGGGAAGTTTGTCTCTGAAAGGAAAGTCATAAGGTCACTCAAATCACAAATATGATGCTTAATCTAAGACCTGTGTGTTGAGCACACTACCAGCATTTTTTATTTATCATTATTTTCAAAGCCTGTTGTGGCGTAAATGTGCCAAATAAAGATTAGCTGATTTGGGAGATACGCCATTAAGTTTTGGCCTGTCTGCATTGAAAGGAAACCTCCAAACTAAAATCCCATTCATTATACTGGGGAGGTCATGGATTGAATTGATGAAGTTCCATCTGTGGAGTTGATGAAGGCCTGTTCGACAAAACATTTCAACCGAGTAAATAAAATGGTACACGGAGGCGAGATTTTTATTTTTGCTGCGGTCATTGACCTAGCTGAGAAATGAAGTACCACTGCTACACTTCTCCTTTTGCAGAATATGGTGGAAATATGCAGAATTACTTAGTGGCACACAGCATTCATGACGTGGAGCCTTTGGGCCTTGGTGTGAGTAAATCATTTTAATAGGAACGTTTTTCATACAGCTACAAACAATAAGTATGCACATTCCATTGACTTCACAATGATGCCTTAATATTTTCTTCATTTATAGCCTTCGTCTGTGCGGACAGAGCAAAATATCTATTATTTCTCCTACTCGTGTACCTCCATTGTTATCTAAACTCAACACGGCGCCGCATTGCTTCACTGATTGGGTTCTTCATTACCACGAGTCAGCCCTCACGTTCTGCAATGCATCCCTGCTGCTGGGAATTCAAAGCCCGTGTGTTTTTAAGACTTAACGCATTATTGGTTTTGCTCTTTCATGGGAGTTGTTGACAATTAGACAAATACAGAGTCACACCATCCGCAATCATCCGTATGGATTTTAACTGGTACCTCTCGCAGAGGCGCTGCAGATTGTCATAACCGTGGTCTATTTTTAGTTGGAAGTTGTCATGCCAAGGTAGAACGGTTCATCTCACAGCGGCATATCGGACGTTACGTAATTTAGCACACAGCACCAGCTGAATGCTGCGGGACAGAGCTGTGGAGTGAAGCAGGTCAATATGGTCCCACATATTGTGCAACTCGGGGCCCTCCGGGACAAAACAGGACAGATGTTTTGGCTGTGTCGACTTTCTGCCTCTCTAGGAATGGTTCACCTACTGCAACATGCACACGCATTACATTAGAGAGAGAGGCTGAGAATGCACTCTTTGACTTTGTTTGCCTTTGTATTTCATTTGGAACAGCGAGGCGACGGAAAAGGCAATCCCATTTGTATTCTGCATCAGGGGGTTGGATTATTAGACAGAATGGCGTGTCCATCACAGGGAGACTTAATATGAGCTATGGTGGAATATGCTCCTGGTAATAGTTTGATTTGGCTAGCCAATCAAATCGATCAATTTACTGTGACCTACTTTGGTAAGAAATGTGTATATTGATGATGGAAGTGACCCAAATGGCACACAGATTGACCCACAAGCCTTTTGTTTCCTGGCAACCCGGTAGCTAATTTCTCAAAGTCTCGAACCAGCCCGTAACCCAGGTTACGGGACCCTCTGCATGAGAAATACACAGCGCCAAAGTATTATTTTGTGTCAGAATATTAAGATGTATTATTTTGTCGGCCGTATCTAATGCGTGCTGAAGGAAGAACCGGATCGTAAGGTGTTCCCGAATCCACAAACCTGCTGGAGGCAGAGAGGTAATTATCTTAATACTGTTTACTGCATTCACAGCAGGAAATTACCCCTCTGAAGTGACTAATCCGTTGACTGCTCACGTGATGCACGTTGTCAGAAAAGACCGTTAAGATGGATATTTCAAAATTATACCATTTTAATGAGTTGATAAGAGCATAACAATAGACCTGGGATGAGATTCCCTCCAGTCTGGCAGCTGCAAACAGCTGTGACCACTGTAATGGAGAAAAGGGCCGTATTCGCAGCTCATACGTCTTAAGAAATCTTTTTCCGTGTTCTATAAACGCAGCTTGAATCCGACGTTATCTCCGACGCTCCTGCAGGACGCAAAGAGAAAAAACGAGGCGATATCCAAATGCATGACCAAAATGTGCGTCCCCTATGTGGCTTTACGTGCAAGGACTTGTTAAGTGTTAAATCCTATTCATTTTGAGGAAAATGACTCATTCATTTGCAAAATGGATTATCACAGCAATTAGTAGAGAGGCAAAGCCGAGCTCAAAACAATTTGATTTTCAGATAGAGGGGGACTCTCATCACAACAATAATTTAGAACTAATTTCACTCATTTTCTCTTTCCCGTTCTCAAACTCCCTCTCGTTTCATTGTCTCTGAATTCCCAACGAGTACATTTCGTACTATTTTCACAGAAATAGTCCCTTTTAAATGCTAATGATTGATAGGGAGTTGCATGTACTTGTAACAACGCTGGGGAATGGCAGCCCATGGAAATGCCTGGAAACAGTTTTCACGGCAATCTGCACACTCTCCCCCTTAGCTTTCATGACGGAGACGTAGAAAATCAGTGATGCAACTCATGCAGTACAAAAGTTTAGAGAGATGTTAGAATCCAAACATTTGAATCTAAAAAGAGGGAATGAGAAGTTTTGAATTCATGAAGCGCGGCGAGTACTTTCAACTGACTGATCAGTGTAAGATAGGAGATGTGGGGTGCCAAACAGCGCCAAAAATAGTGCAGGGCATCACATCATGGAAGTTAAGAAATAATAAATGGAATTCCCTGAACCATCAAAAAAGTGATTTCAATTTTCTTGCTTGGACTCAGAAAATGAGTTTTTCTCCCTTTCTGAAAGGTTCCAATTCTGCAATGTGTCTGTCTTCCCAAAGGTTTGTTTGATGTTGTTTTTCAATCTGCGTTTGCATCGTACAGAACATGTCTGATTAAGTGTGCCGTTTGAAAGTGGCGCTGTGTAAAGAAAGAAGCTCAACGCGAGTACCTGCTCTCCTTCAGTGAAGACCCGGTTCTGGAAGCTCCAGGAGATGGCGGGTGTGGGGTCGCCCGAGGCCTCGCAGGTCAGGGTGACCTGTTCGTCAAACTCTGAGGCGGTCTGGTTATTCAGATAGGTGATCCTGGGTCTCACTGCAAAGGAGGAACGGATGTTGGCAAACGATTGAATGTACCCTGCCCCTTCTGGTGGGGAGAAGAAACAACGCACGCAACGCAGGCATTTGGCGAGACGTCGACATGGTGCACAGAGTGCAGCTTTGAATGGCCTTTACATGTTGTTAACATTACCGCGCTCAAGTATACAGACAGGCTTCAATAGAGTTGTGGTTTCATACCCCATTGACTGATAATGGAGCTGCGAGCACATGATTACATGAGCCTGCTGCAAATTTGCACATGGAGAGGAACTCTAGTGTGATATCTTTCAATGTCCTAAGGGCTGGCTTAATTATTTTTCAATGGGGCACGCTTTTCACTGTACGCTTCACGCTGTGCAGCTCTGCACCGAGCTGCTGGAACAGCCGAGGAGGAGTCTACAGCAAATGTCAACAAGTACAAAAACGGCCAGGGAGGGAAATAAGAACCTCTCCCTATCTTATACTTTTGCAAGCGAATGGCGGTTATTCTCTCACCGAACACGTTCAGGCTGACTTCCTCGGATTTCTCTCCCGCCTTGTTCTTGGCGATGCAAGTGTAATCTCCTTCATCCACTTTCTTGACACTTTTTATTAGCAGCTCCGAACCGTCGTCGCTCAGCGTGTACTTATCACCGGTTTCAAGGACAACGTTGTTACTGCAGGAGGGGGAAGAAGAAGAAGAAGAAGAAGACATGGCGGGTTTTACATCGCCAGTGTTTGCCTGCAAATGACTTTGTTAACTGGCTCCCAGTGATCTGCTGGTGATTTCCTCTCAGGACCAGAGCAGTGCCTTGAAGGCTGGGAGACCACGGAGGCGGTTGTTCGCCTCAACGCTCCTTTAGCCCCTCTTATCTGGGTTTGATGATCATGCAAGGATGTTGCGAGGGAGTCTCGAGAAGACCCTCTTGCACTCCCGAGGAGCAGAAGTTTTCGCTGGATGTTAAACGTGCTCTTTGTGCCAGTATTCTGCCTGCATCCAGCAGCGGGCCTTGTGAGTGATTGAAAAACAACAAACACACTTCATCGCCCCTCTGTTCTCTGACTGCGTCACCCATGTGTCCTCCCCTCAACCTCCCTGTCTGCCTCCAGTCTGTTCTGTCCCCGTCCCCCAGCCTCAGCACCCACATCACACTCCAGCTGCATGGGAGACAGCTGTGAGCAACATCTGGGTGTCCAATAGTCTTGTTCACTCATGTGTCTGAGAAAAGAGCTTTATTCCTCTCACAGCGTTGCTGCTGTTGTTGCTGCTGATAGTGACACCATTAAATGATGATGCGCCATGAATATGAAAGCACATTGAGCTGACAGCTGTATGATGGAAATAAATGTTGGTTATTTGTAACTGTCAGAGCTTGACAGGTGATCAAGCATCGTTAATTCATAGTAAATGGAGGTACTTGCTATAACCGCCGATGATGAATCCATGCTGGAAAAGTCATGGCTGATATCCTTGAAAGGCTGATGTTGGAATGTTAACGGCAATTTGTGATGTCATGCACCTATTTAATATACATTTGACGTATCACATCAAGTGACTCTATTAGCAATAGAAGTTCCATTTCATATTTGCTCAAATATAATTGTGTTATGGCTACGCCTTGTTTAAACTAACTAGCAGAACTATGCAACCAGGTGGCGATTCACCATCGGTCCGTACGAGCCTGCTGCATCCCCACTCGAACCGGATAAAAGTGGAATTTTGTTTAAATGGTGTGTGGGAAGTAATAATACTCATCAAAGCCTTTTTGCACTTGTAACAGTGGAAGTGCAAGCATCATATCATCTCTCCCACACAACCGGTAGAAGGAAAGGCCACGGAAATCCCCATTTATGGAGCATTTACACACTTTACATCATCAGCTCCCTGAAATGAACCACGTGCTTTTAAAAGTATTTTAACTGGAGTACAACGTTTACCCAGAAAGGCTGCGAGAAAAAGACAACACCACCAGCAAGCAAGGTTAGTTTACATTACCTATACCTCAGGCTTTAATTTAGTGGCTTCCAGATTTTGTTAAAGCACAAATTCAATTGTTTAGAGCAAAGTGAAGGAAACTATGTTCTGAGTTTAAGGGAACAAGTTGAAATCTCAATCTGAATATTTTTTTAGAAACCTACTCTTGCGTGCTTCAATCAGGTGTTGAGTTTGAGTTGCAGAAGTAAAACTATAGTGGAGCTTTATTGAAAAAAAAACTGTTGAATGAATGAGACACTTGACACGCCACTATCTGCATTATCTGCCAGCTGGATATTATGTTTTGTATGGTTCACCCATTATCCTGATGTTCACATTCATACAGTTGATAATGTAATCAGTTTCATAATGGAACCCTGCAATGCAGCCTTCTTGTCCTTGACTGTGCATCTCTGTGCTGTAGATCAAAGCCTGGTCGCTACCGTTTCACTGTGTCAACCAGCTGGAGTCAGAAGGCTGATAACATTCACCAAAAAAAGAGAAAAGAAACCTGTCTCCACATGTGGCTCTGTGACCCAGCTGTGATACGCTGCTATGGAGCTACAGGATGATCCTTAAAGGGTCCCGACACGGTCTGTCATAAAGACAAATGCAAAACTGAAACTCAAGGGATTCTTTTCTTTTTTTTCCACCCTTGATCCCAACGATCAAAACAGGCCGGCGAAACAACATACTGTGTCCAGGTGACGGAGGGTTCAGGGAAGCCGTCTGCGTCGCAGGCCAGCAGGGCAGAGCTAGCGATGTCTGCTGTAGCGTTGACCTCTGACAGCCTGGCGCGGATGGTGGGGAGCACTGAAAAAAAGAGGATGAACATAGAAAAGTAATGAGCACATGATCATAAGGTGGTGTTCTGGAGAGGCTGAATCTAGATGTACCGTAGTGGTAGATTTCAACTAATGGCTTTAGAAAGTGATAAAATCCCTGTTTTGGGACTGTGTGCCGATAATGGGTATAACGGCTACTTCAGACCCTGTGGACTGACACTTTTTTAGGTCTTTAAAAGAAATATTTTCTACATGAAAAAAACACTAATTTGTCTTTTAAGGCTCACTTTGTCCGGCCGTCATTCAAACAGCAAAACATTTGTTCCCAGACGAAGAGAAATATACACGTGGCTTGTTGTGTGAGTGAACTCATTGGGAGGAGAATCAGCCTAGATGGTGCATCTGCCTGGCATCCGTGAGATACTGTACACCGCGTGCACGAGGCATTTTTCTTTTGAGAAAACATTTTTTTCTCAGGGTCGTCATTACAGTACCTTTCTATGCCGAGCAACAGGCGGGGAGCAGAAGGTGAAAGAGATGCTTACCGTTAACAATGACCTTGATCATCCTGAAATCTATTTCTCCCCTGGCCATGATGCGGGCCTCACAGTTGTACATGCCCTCATCTATCTTCTTGATGCCGCGGATCAGCAGGTGGCCATTATCCATGATCTTGTATCGCACTGAAACAGAAATGGCAAAGAGAACAGTTCTTTATCGCGTACGATTCTGCAGATTACATTAACACAAAAAAGCAGTAAATTTACCAATGAGACACGTAGGGATTTCAGTATGTAAATATCTTAACCCCGATTTATTATGTATTTTTACTCCTTGAAACAAGTTTAAATTAAAAGACCAATCATGTATGATTAATTCCTTCATTCTTGAAAACCTGAACTGAAGTGAAGGTTCAATAAATGAAATTCTTCATTTAAAAGCTCAGACGGGAAGCTGGAAGCAGATGTATATGTTTTTTTTTTTATTAAAGTCCCAATTATCCCTGGTAATCAAGTGGGGGGAACACAGAGAGCTCTGCGTGTCACTCCACCCGGCGTATTCCAGCAGCGTTTCACATTGATCATAGAACCCGCCAGCGTGTTGCCAACGTGTTGCCAACGCGTTGCCAACGTGTTGCCAACGTGTTGCCAACGCGTTGCCGCTCTAATTAAACGGGCCATAAACACACAGCGCCAGAATGCGCTGCCTTTAACATCACAAGGTTCCTCCGGCACATTATTCAAATCCAGGGCTCTCTGACCTCATCGGATCTAAGGGAGTTAAAAGCCGGGTCCTTCTTGGCTGTTTTGTTCTTTTATGTGGCCCAATTTAGTGAAGTAAAGCACCGCTCCAAAATTGGTGACCGACCAGTGTGAACTCTAAAAATCCCATGATTAAATGTTGATTAGATGTCGGCTATTAGGGGTGTACTTGTTCAGCGTGACTCTCACTGGCCAATTTATTCCGTCTTTTCCCCCGGTTAAATTTACCATGCTAGTACGAACACTTCAACCTCTCTGGCTATCTGATGAAGCCCACAGCGTGAACGAAAGAAAGAGTGAGTGCTATAAAATCACTCGATGCATATAATTATATACTGAGTGCTAAAATGAGAATGCTGGTGTGGGATGGTGAATGTTTTCTCACTTTATTGCACAAACAATTCCCACTCACACTTTTGTCCCCATTCTAACGGCCGAGTGCATTGACCAAAATATGTTGATGCAGATGTGAGCAGGTTACTTCAATTTTACGTAATTGTTCACGTCTGCAGCGCCGCCACATACAGTATATTAGACCGTTATACTTTTGACACGTCAAATTAGCTCCAACATGCTAGTGACGATATTTAAATGACGCTTAACCTCTGATGTTAAAGCATCCGTAATATTACAGGCAAATTCAGCATTAGAAGAATTATTAGGGTAAATAGCATGTAGCCGCTTTGGGGTGTTTCATTATTATTGTGTTTTTTTTTCCCCCCTTTCCACCACGGATTTCCATAGTATTTCTATCTATTTGCTGCTTGCTGTCTGCATGCACATGGAAAGAACTATAACGACCAGCACACCTGAAGTTGAGTCAAGATAGTTTAAATCAAGTGTGGCATTTAAACGGAATGGTGCGCTCCATTTCATCGACCAGCTGTTAATCTCTGCTGCTTTGACACATGACAAAGCAGTTGTGTTTGCGAGGTTGAACAATGCACCATGCAGAAAACTGCTGGGAGGGATATTACACAAGCAGTTTTTCAGTTTTTGGTTACAATTAGTGGTTTTTCCAGTGAAAAACACATTCCTTGACTAGACTCCAAGAATACAGGCGGGCTAAGCACAACACTGTGGCGACTCCAGGCTCTGCAGCGGTCACCAAGGGAGGGGTTAGTGTAAGGTTAAAATAGATCCGGTCCAAGTGTAAAAAAGAATTCAGCTGCACCTCGATCCTTACTCAGCAGAGTTCTAGTTTTATTTCAACTCCTAAGGTCGATGTTCTCTGCTGCCTGAAGTTAAAATCATTCACAAAAACGACATGCTCGTCCGTCGCAGTTTCAACAGCGGTTAAATTGGTTGCCAATGTTTAGTCAAGGCAGCTAAAATATTTATAAATGCACCATTCAGAGTTTATATTGTGTTCATTATTCCTCCACAATAGATACCTTGGTTCTCTTTAACAGCTCGTAAGGTGTTTACTGGCAAAGTAACAATTGTGTAGAACAAAGGGATCAAGTGTGGGGAGTTCGGATGTCAACGCAGGGCTGTTTCAGAAGATCCTTTAGATGTGTGATGTTTTTTGTCCCAATTGGAACACGTTACAACGGCTGTAAATCACAGCGGATTATAGCTTGTCAGGGAGCAAGATAGTAACTCCTTCTGAGCCTGAAGGCAAGGTAGAATCCACAAAACATCATCACATACTGTGAAGATGTTTTGTGGATTCTAAGTGCAAGAATCCAACAATGAGGACAGCTAAAGAAACTGTCCAAAAAACCCCAAAAGCTATATATATATATATATATATATATTTTTTTTTTTTTTAAACCAATAAAGGTTTGTTAGGCTAGCTGGCCTGCATGACGTCCAGAACGCAATGTCTTTTATTGTGAAGGACAGCAGTTGCAGACAGAAATTATATAGTTCTTCTTTTATCTTTCCACTTTTCTCTTTCGTTTTTCAGATTAATTCCGCCTGCAGAGTGCTTATCCCCCTATTTGTAGTCCAATCTGTCCACATATATCCTTTCCAGTGGCGATAACTACTTCGTGTTAGGCCAGACAAATATCATTTCCATGTTCACGCAGCATCTGTGAGGTTTAAAACATCCCGACTGGTATTGCACATATTTCTTCCCAGATAAGGGGCAGGAAACGCGTATTGGCTCAGCATTGGTAGGAAGGTGAGGTGACTGCCCAGGTAGTCAAAGTCAAAGGGGCACAAAGCAGCCCGAGCATTTTCTAAACCATCATATTTGGGCGGGCTCACCGTCTTTGGCCACCTGGATCCTAGAGCCCTTGTGCTTCCAGATGATGGCGGGTGGCGGCGAGCTGACCACATCGCAGACGATGTCAGCGTCGTCGCCTTCATTGAACTCCTGTGGGCTGGGAGCACTGTCGAAGGTGATCTTTTCTGTAGAGAGATGAGAGCAAAATCTAAGAGCAGCACAACCTGGCACCTTATCTCTTATTAATGTTTGATGGGTCTAATAATAATAATTAGGCTACGCTTAAGATGCTTAAGAACAACTTCAGATTCTATTTGCCATATAATATATCTATCCAGCACACCGTAGTGTGGTTTACAGTTTACAGTGCGCTGTTTCCAAGCTTCCTCTCCAATGTGATTGGTCTCGTAAAAAATGTCCTGCCGCTCGATAGTTTAAAAAAACGATGGGACTCACGGAAGATCTTCACTTGGACCGTGGCCTGGGCCTCCTTGTCCCCGCTCCTCGCCACACACTTGTAGATCCCGGCACTGTCCACGTTGGCGTGGTAGATGGTGAGTGTCGCCGTGGCTTCATCGGTGCGGGACACGATGATGTCCGGCCTGTTGGGGAGGATCTTCTCCCCGCTGGGGGCGAACCAGTCGATGTCTTTAGCGTCTCCAACCACTGAAACACGGGACGATAGAGGAGTGTGGGAAGCTGGTATGCGTCAACAGCTCGGGATGATGTGGATATCTTTTTGGTCCGTTAACTTTGCTGTGCCATTTAGAGTGTATTATCTATACCTTTATTATGATAAATGTATTCATGCAAAACTCGCTGTGTTTGCTTACTAAACAGCGCGAAAAGCTAAATTGGGACTAAAAATGAAAGATGAAACAGAAATTGTCATCTGAAGCTGATGAAACGAGAAATATTTTGTCCAACAAAGGTTGGGAAATATTATTGTCGAATCAAAGCCGGTCTCATCTTTTCAAGACCAGACTAGATAAACACACAGAAACATGAAAAAGACCAGCATGAATTATTTCTGTTTGCTCAGTGGGACAGAAGATATTTCAATATGAGGCAGCCTTAGCTAAAAGGAAGAAAGAGATCTGTGCGCATTATATACATGCGCCTCATGTAAAGTATTACATTTTAATTTTATTGGCGTATAATTCCATGTCAATCTTAATAGTTACATACAATTTGCTTTTATAATTTGGGTGAAACTGCAGCGTTATTGTATAGTTTTATAATAACTGCGACCTACTGACTGGCATGATTTTAATCATCTACCAAATATTCCACAATGTCAGACAACTGACCCACCAAATGCAGATACTGCCTGTACCTCAGGTGGTCTAATAACTGCACATGTTCAGTCGAGCGTCTAACACCTCTGTCTCATTATCTGTTCAGACTGCATCTCTCTCCCACCTCTTCTCAGCCCTCCGCCCACCTGACCGTGATCATAACCTCCCTCTCCCGCCTCGGAAAAGACTGCTCAGTTCATGTATCCGTGTCTTTTTTTTTTTCTCCCGTCTTTTGTCTTGTATTTCCTTAAAAGTCTAACATCTAATCAGTGCCATCATTCAAGCTTCTGTCAGACGATCTAAATGAATGCTGCCCGAGGACAAAATCCGCAGCGAGCCGTGCTAAATGAGGCATGCTTGAGATCACGCTTACCTTCGCAGAGGAAAAACTTGGACTCTCCTACGCTGATCTCTCCTTGTGTTGGAGTGATTTGCACCTGGATGGCGGCTGGGAAAGAAAAGAAGAGAGAGTTGGTCTCCGGGTTGCAGCGAGAGGAATGGTGACAAAGGAGCAAAGCGCAACAAGGAAAGGCTCATAATCAAATTGCTTTTCCTGCTCAAAGAAACAACCATTTTTCATGCATTCCCCCTATGAATGAACTCCGGGATGACGAGCCTTTGGTCACTAGAGTGCAACATCTCCATGTGCAGCTGGGTGATGAGGCTAGATTTTTCTATCAGGCCAACGTTCTGGTTGTAAGTGGATGTGCTTGACAAGGACCCATTGTAGGTAGAAGGCATTGGAAACAGTGCAATCAGCCGTGCATTTTATGACCATGTCATAGAGTGGCGATGGTTTGGGTGCTCTTATCCTGATATTCCCCCACATTTTCTTTCAATCGCATCCTTTCAACTTTTATACCAAAATCACCACCGTTTCAACACTTCCATGGAGATCAGTCCTCACTTTTCCTTCCAGACTGTCTTGTCTGATAAGATGGAAACTTCAAGCCGCTCGTGTTGTTATACAAACCAGAGCAGAAGGAGGCAAAATAAAGAAGGATAGCGAATATGAGGCGTATTATAGTGACAATAATTAAGTTCCTGAGAATGAGGTTTAAAATATCATGCACTGATTACTAAAGTAATTGGCATGGGGTAAGATGATCTTCAGTCCTGGGAGGCAATCTTCAGTATATTAGTAACACTATGTGTTTATTTTAGCCACCTGACCGAGTCCACCAGGGCGTCCTCGTACTCCTTCACCCCTTCTCTGCTTCTCCCTCGGCATAATGACGTAAATCAGCATCATGCAGCCTCAGCTAAAGCCGCTGTGACGAAGAGAAACACCTGGTGTTTGTTCCTTCCTGCGTGCTAACCACTTCAAATTCAAACTCCTGCATATTTATTAATGAAAAGTGTTAGAACGCGTAATCATTTTCACATGCTTAATCAGGGAACCACCACTCGCACCTGTATGCCAGACTGACAGGAAATGGAATGAATTTAAAAAGGGAATATGTGACACCATTAAATTCAAGTCTCTCTTCGGCGACGCGCAGCATGTGAGTGAAGCAGAACGCCGCTGAATCGCGAGCCGGAGCTCGACAGAGAAACCCCGCCGAGCCTTCAGCATGTCGCCACTTCACACAAACGAGTGAGTCTGTCTGAGCGCGGTTCTCCCCGGGAGATTCGTGGGAACGGTTCGCGAAGACCCGCCATTCAAAGACAGGTAGCAAGCTGCCATCACAGGCGGGATGTTGTTGGACGAAAGGACGTGTTCCATCGCCATAGAAACACAGCCACGGACGAGAAGAGGCGGTCGGAGCAGGCGGCCTTTCGTCGTTAGGCAACTTGTGTGAGAGAAGACAGCTTTTTATTATTATTATTTCAACTATTCACGGTGAAAACACTTGGCTTGGTCAAATAGTTGTACAAATATTGATTTGCTGTCACGTGAATGAACCGGCATTTGTTGCAGGTCATGCAGGCTTTTGAAAACCAGTGTCCAGTGTATGTTTACTTGTACGAGCTAGAAGCAGATACAAAGACAACAGCATATCCATTTTCTTTCCTCATGCAGTAAGATCACAGATACCATGCTGCAAACCCTGGCGCTGCCTCCTAGTAATAAGACAACTGGCCTGAAATCAACTGATGGTATCTGCAACACTAAAGACAACAAAAAGGAGTTCACACGCTTGGGGAAAGATCGCTTTTCCCAAAGACCTTTGGTATTGTCTCTAAATGGCCACTTGTGCAGCGTTGTTGAGTCTCACGTGTCATGCAAAAGGGTTAGTTTGGGTCTCCGCTGGGAGCATGTTGTGAGTTGTTGGTGTAGACATGGGAGAAGATGCAGGCTTTCATCATTTGGTCTCAATCCTTTGCTTTTCAAATCCTGTTAGGATAACTCATGAAAAACATCCTTTCTCTAGACGGGCTTATTATACAATGATAGTCACAATCATGTATATTCAATTTGAGTTTCAGACCACATTTGAAATCGTATTCAGTGTTCATTACTTCATTGGAAACTTAATCCCTGCTCAATAGACAAATACATTTGTTCTATGCTTGTGTGATATTGCTTGGTTCTCCCCCCCAGAAACACAGCCCTGTTAATAACTTGGGAGTATTATTTCATTATTTCAGACTGCTGCAGAGGGTGTTAATGAAATGCTCAAAGAAAGTGACAAAGGGATAAAAAGGACTTAGATATTTAGCAACTGATTAGAGCTATCCATGAGAATAACTTTGGGTGTGGACCATTGGAAGACTCATGAAGCATCTGTATCCATCATAACAAGTATCTAATATCATCCTTTAAGGTTTTCATCAAATCGCCGAATTTAAGGTTTAATTTAAGACCCTACCATCATTTCACAATACATACAAAAAGGTAAAGACGGCTGGCAGCAAAGGAGACGAAGATTAACCGAAGGCATAGAGCGACGTGTTTGGCACAGTGAGGAGAGTCGCAGCATAAAGGATCCAGCTGATGTCTGTGCAGCGATGTGGTCACTCAAGACACCAATCTCATGTGTCCCCTTTTCTCAAAATGAACCAAAATCATGATCTTTCACTCCTTCAACATATTGCAAACACACCACAATGTACTTTAGGGTGGATATGAATGTGGAAAAATGTATTTATGTATGACTTAAATATTGTATGTAAGAGCATGTCGGCGACAGAACACTAAAGGCAGCCGCTGAGGGGCGGACAACAATAAAAACGGCAATTTGCTCTGCTCCTGAGACACATGGGGCCAACGAGCTGACTGGGACACAATGGATCTATAGCCACGCTGCAGAGACCCCTGGGAGATCGGGGGTTATTTGGCCAAAGCTCAGCGGCTTTGACTCTGACAAATATTGGTCAATCCGCCTTTGTCTGCCTGTGGACTTGCAGGGCCCGTGTCCTTCGTATTCAAAGCTTTTGAAAAGGCGCAGAAAAAGATTGACTTTTTTTTATTTTTCTTCAGAAGAAAAAACAGACGAGTTGTTCTGTGAAACGTCCACAGAGACAATTAGAGGCCACGGTAACAAAAGACAGCAGAAGTTTTTTCACTGCATCCAAGATGGCCTCCCACCGTGTTTACCTGCGGTTCCTCTTCACAGGTGCCGTTTGCTCTCCAATATCCCCTTACAAGCCCTGACCCTCCAGAAACGCTTTTCACCAGTCTGATACTGAGAAGGGCAGAGCCTTGGGTTTAAGAAATACACACGGCCCCAACAATCACCAACGGACGAAGCAGTGAATCAACAACCCCTTCGTTTGGTTCGACAGTCTGGGCTCACTTTTCATAAACATTCAGGGCAACAGGGTTCACATTGAATTACACTGGTATTCTCCTTTAATTAAAACAAAAAGGTGTTTTTTTTTATTTATAAAAGCTCAAGGAAACTGTAAAGCAATAAATAACTGACATAGACCTCCATACATTAGGCGCACACACACACACACACACACACACACATGCTTGCCAGCAGATTACTGATTACTTACTAAGTTATTATTTTGACGTTTGGAGAGAAGTTAGACAGCAACGCACATTCGAAGCTACGTTCAAAGCCCAGAAGCGACATTGTGTCTTAATACACTGATGATCCCTGAACACTTTGAAGCAAAGATGTCTAAAAGGTTTTAACAAACAATGACCAAACGCTGAGGATGAGAGAATTATGACCGAACCTGGAACGGTAAATAGCCTTTTAGCGTCGTCACCGATTCCAAATGATGTAACACATACGGGCCACTTCTTTTGAGGCAGTTTGTAAAAGCACGCCGACAGGAAGCGGTCGGTCCCGCTGCGCAAAACCTCAAGTTTGAGGCGGCTCCGTCGCTGTCTTGAGCGGGGAGGTTTGCATACCTAATTGGGGCCCGGCAGACGGTGGTGACTGGCTCGATTACAAGGAGGCTACAACAGTCAGCTGTTGGTGCTTAACATTCAAGTCATGTCGGCGCAAGCACACACACTATGCAGGGGCAGACGGCCCCTGGGTGGAGCGACACTGGGATGCATACAAAGCCGGCACGGAAACTTAGGAAGCAGCGATATGAGTATTTACTGTACAGCAATCTATTCATGTTCTATTATATCTTACACAATGACAGAGGGTCTAATACATCTATGAGATAAAATGAGACCATTTCTATTCTTAAAAGTGATGCAATTGCATTTGATGTACATTTTTGCAAATATTTGACAATCGGAAGGGAAGACGGGGGGTCGCAATCTCAGGCGCATACAGAGTGTTTGCTACAGATGAAAACAGTCCACACAGTCACAGTCCGTCGTATGGTTGCTTCTCAAGCGGAACTGAGCAGTGGGATGATAATGTGGGGAGAGTAACGCACAACGTGGAGGTGGGACACAGCTGGATCTCCGCATCTCTGAGGACTCAAAACATCAAAGACTCCAATGGACATGCGATAGACGTGGTTATTCTCATCTAGCGCGTTGGATCGTGTGGGATCCGCTCACAATTGTGACTCTCTTGCTTCGGCCTCCTAGTAAAGCCTGAAAAGCGTTCAAGCATCTCAGTGGTTTATAACCTTTCCATTGAATTCCGCGCGTCGTGTGAAGGCAAAGGCACAAACTGTCCTCGGAGCTGAAAGGGGCCATAGATTCAGCAGAGCCGACATAGAGCAAATAGGTGTGATGGAGAATACAAAATAAAGAATGCATCACGGGTCAATTGGCTCGACGCAATGTCTATATTAACGACACAAAAATAAAAAGCAAAATTGTCAATCACCCGAACACATGGAGCACATCTGCAGAGCCTCAACGACCTCAAAGCTGTCGAGCGAGCTTTCGATATCACAGACAGACGAAAGTATCAATGGAGCCGAGCTCTCCCTCTACTTATCTAACCCGTGCAAACCTGAAGAAGCTTCTCCAAAAACTTCAAAAGGATTTCTGGCAATCCAATACATCAGTCACAGCACTGCGTGGAAACTAAGACATCACAACCATCACGTATTCCTCATAGTGCCTCCCTA